TATTATATTAATAATAACAATAACTGCCTCATGGTGGCTAGGGCCATTGGCTACAATAATATTAACTTAATTTTTACAATTGAAGAATCATTTTAAAATATTAAAATATTATAAAAACAGATGAAAAATTGACATAAAGATATGAAAATACAATTCTAAATTTTTATATGTAGTTCAGTATCCTCTAGGAAATCGAATACATTCAAGGTACCCGAGTTTAAATTTTTTAACGGATGTTGCGTTGTAGCTTGTACTTAGAGCATTCGATTAAAATGTGTTTGATTGTCAGATAATAATTGCGAGTAAGGCATTTTGTAAGATCTTCTTACCCATATTATAAGTTCAACATATTACACGTACGCACACGCACACACACACACACACACACACATATATAATATATATCTTGTAGATTCGTTTACTTGGAAGACTGCCAACATACGGCGGAGTCGAGAGGTTTGGAACAGTGGATAAATCAAAACAGCGAAGAGATAGTCCAGAAACAGTGTCCCATATGCAAAATTCCTATTCTGAATACGTTGAGGTTCAAGAACCACTACGTGAAATCCGTGCAGAAGGACATTTGCGAGATCGAGACCAGACTGTTGGACGGCCGCGATTGGTCGGCCGTCGACCGGAAGAAGGCAACACTCGAGCGGTCGGTGAAAAAGTTGAACCGTCGATTCGATAGAATCGAGACGACGAGCGCGCGATTCGCGGTCGTGAAAAATCTGTGGTTCCGCTCGTCAGACCGGCTGTTGCAACGCGTGCGCAGAATCACGTTGGGCGACGAGACCCCCGTCGACGTCGACTCACGGACGTCCGCCGCCCGACTGGTCGAGTCGTTTTTTTCGTATCTAGAAAACGGCCGACGGAGACGCGAAAAACGTTGTGATCGACCACTTCATTTGGCTAATGACCGCGACGGTGGTTCGCGCGGGTCATCTGTCCGAGCAGCAGACGGCCGACGTTAACTCGGAAATGGCTCGCGGCGCCCGTCTCGCGGGTCTGGCCGAGGCGAAGACCAATCCCGACTTTCGGTTGGCCGCCATCAACCTGCAGGCCGCCTCCGCGTCATCCTGCAATACTACAGCATGGAGGCACTGTTGACGGTCACCGGACCGTACCGCCGAGACGCGGACAGCGAGGTGCAACGGTTCACCGATCGGATACGGACGGTCGTCAAGGGTGCGGTGACCGCGACGGACGCCGAACGGAAGACGATCCGCGCGGCCACGTCGGTGAACTCCCTGCACAAGCGCGGGAGATCTCGAGGCCACTGGCTCAAGTGCGCCAACGGCCACATCTACTGCGTGACCGAGTCCGGCGGGCCAATGCAGCCGGCCAAGTGTCCGGTGTGCGAGGCGGACATCGGTGGCGTCGATCACTGCAGGTACGTCGAGGGTACGACGGTGGCGACGGAGATGGACCGCGCGACAAGTGTCGCGTGGAGCGCCGCCGACGACATGGACGACTATGCATTCGACTGATCGGACAAACCGTTTTTTACCCCACATAATATTATATTATATATTATCTGCAGATAATAATTAACTTTTTATAATGACTAATAAATTGTGTATCATAATATACGTTTAAAGTTTAAAATGAGTAAATACGTAATGTGACGTAGGAAATATTTATATAGGTACCACCTACATCATACACTTATAATAGTTTCGCTTTATTAAATTTCATTAAATCAATCGATTACTATACATAATAAACGTAATTCGAAATATAACGCCAAACGGAGTGTCCTTGAAATACCGAGAAAACGAAACCTCTACGCCGTTGCCCCTGGACTGCATTATCCACGACACCGATTTAGGACATTGTACTTATGTAAGCGCAGAAACATCCCTTATTGGCTGGTGTGTAAATGTCATAATATCGTATAATATATAGCCCCACTGTTGTTCAGGTGTGCTGTGTATTATAATGTGCAGACGACCACAACGAAACATAATTTTATTGTGAAAATTTATTATGTCATCGTTATGAAATAATGACCCGGAACAGGTTGATTACGTGTTTTCAACTTTTGAATTATTCGTTCAACGCCCACTACTGTGCTGCAGGCATAAACGATTAAGTAACAATTCACTACTAATTAATAATAATGATAATAATAATAATGACTCGTTTTCGAATAATTTATCGCAATGTTTTACACGACCGAAAATTATAAACTTTCAGTTTGTTTTAGAGTTTCAAATATCAACATTCAACACACGAGCGTGTGCGACGTGCGTTTGTGTTTATCAACACGCAAACACGACAATGTTTTACGACGACTCGTATAGAATATGGTTTTTACGACAGATTTTGTTTTTTATTATCGCCCTTTCGACAATATAATATGTTTTCAGCTACACAATAAATTCGAATTATTAATCTGATCACATAACATTGTATTCAATATGATATTTCATATTGACTTATGATCCACTCCGACAATAGTAAAATCAAGAACTAAACCAATTTCACGCGTGTTATAATCCATATGATATTATATTTATATCCACAGTCATAAATCTAATACCGGGACTATACATAAAACATAACTATTCGTGCGACTCTCGTCTCTGACAGCGATTATAGATCACACTATTAGATGAATATAGAAAAAATATCTCTAGAAATTGTGTACAGCTGCAGGTGCAGCTTAACGGTTACTAGCCGCAACATAGTGACATTTTAAAACGAAACGCTTAAATTTTGATTTATGTAAAAAAGCATATAATATATTTCCGAATCGCCTGTAAGCGAAACGAAATTGAGACTTTACTCAGCCGTGCGTCTACGCTCTACAGCTATGAATACGCTAAAACTCTAAACTTTAAACTTATTTGAATCGTGCGCTTTTCGAACAAGGGCATTTAAAGGACATTTATTCGGTCAAATGCTTTGGACGTATACTCATGTGTAAAGGTCCTTGAAATGTTCGGCAGGCTGTGCAGATATGGAGACGAAAACGAATCAACTGATTTGCACTTGTACGCGAATCAATCTTAATGATTCCGTTGGTTTTTTAAAGATTGTCGTATCGTATCCTCGTGTCAATTCCGACAACTGTTTTAACGGATGAAGACAAAACTGAAAACAAAAACGGTTTGTGCGCGTTTTATAATTATCACGTACACATCGGGGTATGCGTCGATTCCGGTAAAATGTCTGTTTTATTTAAAATAATAATTTTTCGATTATTGTGTGTGTATATTGGTTATGTTTAGTACTCGACGTTCAGACATTATTATTAAGGTCATAAAAAGTGTGTTACCACCCACAGTGACAAGCGTGTGTGTTATAATATCCGTTCAAAAATATCATGCTAGGAGTTTATTATTCTCTTTCTAGCGATTTCCGTCAATTATATTTTCATCGCCGTATTCGTTTGCTAGAAATCCGTATTATGTAGGTATGATTTTATGCGCAGACGACACGACCTTTGTAAGCTATAACTTTTATACGACATGATACACGTTACACAGACGCGACCCATAGTGTTTGTTTAAAAAACATATCATTCCGTCAACTCATGCACTATTTACACTATTAATACTTCTATAATAGTGGGAGCATTAAAAAAACCACAAGGAAAAACTTACTAATCTATCATGCGCGCCCCAGAGTGACACCCACCAGAGGAAAAACAATTTTTTTTTTTTATTTTATCTATACCTATTTAAATAAAATTTGTATTCTAGTAACATTTTATGACACGTATAGACAACATCGTTGGTGGGCCACACGCGCGATATTATAAATCATACAGTTTAAAAGAATAATGTGTAAAGGGAAATGACTTGTTTGGCACCCCTCCCCCCCCTACGGGCGCTCTTGTACACAGCAATATTCACAAAGAAAAAATATATTCATCTATATATTTATGATTACAGGTTAGGACGGCTAAGTTATATATATATATATATGCTTAGATACACAAGCAATATAATATTATGTACACAAAACACATACACAATATAGTATATACGCGTATCGAACTTATCGGCGAATCGGTAATGGCCTAAAATAATAATAATAAACAGTAAACACGCGCTTGAGCAGTATATACGTATGGGCGGTAGATGTGTACCTATACCATGTGAACACAACATTATTATAATAACTATTTAATAATATATTTTATAATCGATCAATCGGTATAGACGATAATGCGTATCACGCATTATATGCTATATGCATAGTAATATACATATATATATATATATATATATAAACATTATGATTTAGTTATGTATTTTAACACGTTGACAAACTTGTGGTGTACAACTCTATATTACAAACTTTATAGTATAAATTATGAGAGCGAGTATAATATATATAGATAAGTCTTTATAATTATTCATTATTTAACCCGTCGTCACCAGTACACCTATCGCTTAAAGATAATATTATGTGGTATTTTGGATGGGGGGGGGGGGGGGGGGGGGGGGGGGGGGGGTTGGTTGAGAACGCGGATAATTTCTATACCGCGCAGAATTATGGTTTTAATTCGAAAACCCGGGAATGAAATGATACCTAAGTGCAGCATCAAACGGATACGTTGTTTTCTTGGCTTTATTTATGACCGTCGCAGTTATCGTTATATAACTCATAATAATATACAATAATACGTATATACGACATCGGAGTCTGACCGAAAATGCGCGCGAGAGCGGGAGGTAATCCGTACGCCAATTACTATACCTACATCGTAATACATACACTAATATCGTAATATTATCTAAAAGTAAGAACGTCATTCGGTTTATGTGGTTCTCATTATAAATAATTGTACGTTTAACGAGTAAAAACGCCGGGCTTTCCGCGGTCGCGGTCGAACCCGGGAAACGTCATTGTCGTCGTCGCGGTCGGCGGCGCTCGGGGATGCGCGCGAAATTTACGAACGGTAGGCGACGGAGGAGGCGGCGGCGGGCGCCCGGGCGAAAGAAAAAGCAACACTCACACACACACACACAGAGCTGATACTCGCGCGGTGGCGGTAAAAACGACGGTCTGTTGCGCTCCTAGTTTTCCGTTTTCACCCCGTCGGCGGCGCACGTACCCCGCGAGCGTTCGATTGTGTACAACAGTCATATCGTCCGCCGCGTAAATACACCGTGCGATCCGCACTTGTCGGCGAATGACGACGATTCGATAGATAAAATAACACAATATTATCGTCGTTGAGCTATACTAATACTGGAAAACGCTCGGTTACACCTGCGCGCGACGACAATCGCGGTCGATAACAATAACGGCGTAATATATATACTCGTATATAAGATATATATCGTAATAAAACAATCGTCAACGTCTGTATAATAACTGCAGTCGTCTACACCTATTATACGTTTTACGAGGACAAGACTGCAAGTCCGGAAGCCCGCACAGCAGCCGTGCAGAGTCTGTGTGCGCTCGTCAGCGGCGGAGACCGGACACCGACGAGATATTTCCGCGCCGGATCAACCGCACACGGCGATTTCCCGCGGCTGATTGTTGATAAGGAAACGAAATCATCGCCGCAACTATGCCAGCCATCGTAGCCAACGAGTTGCAAGACATGCAATTGCGATCGGCCCACGTAACGGACGAGGTAAGAGCGGTGCACCGGACGCACTTTATGTACCCTATACATACCTATACACATCACTTTCAAATTTCATTTCATTTGTTTTCTTCGTGTTTTTTTTTTTTTTTTTGTTTTTGCTTACAGTCTCTGGAGAGTACCCGTCGGATGATCGAACTCTGTGAAGGGGTACGTATTATAAAACAATATATAAATATATAGGTACGTTATATGTTTACAGCTGTGTACAACGCGTATATAACACGAGACGAAAATTTATATTTTTGTAATTGTTTTTTCCCCTTTGGAGACCGCCGACTCAACTCCCCACGTCAAAACCCCGATCGAATATATTTTTCAAACGGCGTGTAATGCTATATTAGTTATTTTATTATTTTTTTTTTTTTTTTGTTTGTTTACCGATTTCGGAGGGAACTTTTTACGTCATCAGTTGTTATAAGATATTAAATTATTATTACCGTGTTCTGATTTTGTTTCGTCGCACACCCAATCACTGCTCTCGGAAAACGATAATCAATCGTCGACAAAATCTCATATTAACTTTATATTATAATAGATACGACCAACATCATATTATAGTATAACATTATATATTTATCGTTCAAAATGCGTTTATACTCTACGCCGTCATCTGACACGTGCAATCATTCATATTAAATATAATATTATAGAAAACGCGCGTGTATGAAATTGAAAAAATTAATTAATTACATGGTTGAAGGATTTAAAAAAAAAAAAAAGTTTAATTTAATCAGATTATAGTCAGATTTGGTTCGCATTTTAATTATGTTGTGCTTAAGTGATCCGGATAACATTCTTCCTTCATTTATTTTGTATTTATTATACCATTAATCTGGAAATTGTATTTACATAAATTATTTTTTGGAGCGATACTACAAAAACATTTTAACATTATTACAAAGAAATAAGATTGGACTACAACGAGTCAAATGTCAATAGCATTCTTAACGATTTTAATAAATTACAATTATATTAAGGAAACGAACTTAAAAAATTCATACAAAAGAAATCAACTGTTAGGAAATTAATAGTTTTATTTTAATCAATTAATAAATAGTAGATTTTATAATGAAACTGGTAATTATTGAAAATTATAAAGCAACTGCATTTATAGATTTTATAATAATTTATATATAATGTTGCAGATTTTTAGCCTAATCTGTTATAAATGTACCTAAACATCTAATATTAAATTGATTAATATTTTATTCTATTACCCAATTTTTCAAAATTGATTGTGATTTTTAATTTATACACATAAAATTAATTTAATTATCTATAAATATAATACAATATTGGACTTAGCTACAATAATATATAATTACATAATAATTTTTATCATTTAAATTATATTCAGTAATTGTAAGTGACATAGATTCTAAATAAAACATTTATAATTTTTTTACTAGAATTTTTATTTTTATGCAGTGTCTTGTAATATGTACTTAATTGATAACATATTTTTAATACTATAAATTAATAAATTAATATTAATTATTTATTGATTATAATCAATTAATAAATAAATGTTAAAGTTAATTATAAAACTTAAAATATTCTATTTGATGTTAAAAACCAGCTAAAATATCATTTAAAGTGAAGAAATAAATTATTTCCCTTTAACGGCTTCAGACAACTTACAACAACTTTAATAATACCTATTATACATTTTTAATTTATTTTATTGAATATGTATAACGTATGCATAGCTTATTATTGTATGAGTTGTACTATAAATACCATCGGTTTCGTTGATGAATGATTGTTCACTTTAAAGTTATTACCTATAATTTTTTTATTTTTATTAATAACTCATATGTGATAAATAAAATTAATATAAATTTATAGTAAACTAGTCACATAAACTAATTGTATTCCTAAAGTATAGGTTGTTTATTTAAAATAATAAAAAAAATGTGTCATACTCATATATTTTATAAATAAATTCCTTTAAACACTATATTTGTGTAAATTAATTTTTAACAAAAATTTGATGTAAAATTTTTAAATCGCTCTTTTTTATTTAATTTTCTATAAAATAACAATGAACTTTAATAAAATCTAATTTTATACTTAACCATCAAAGATCACCTAAGGATATTATTTTATTTTTAATAATTTTTACACTACTCGTCTATCTTAATTGTTTTTAAGTTTTTCAATTATAATTTTAATATGTAATACATAAAATTCTATTGAATAATTAAATTAACAGAAAAAAAAAAATAATTATAACATTATAAAATACATACAATTTTGAGTGAAAGATAATCCCTCGAACTTACCAAAAACTCATTATAAATAATAATTAAATTATATTTCATGATACATTTATTTTATTTTTAATTAAATATTTTTCTGTAACTCACTGTAAGGAATACTAAACTTAAAGAATTATCGGTAAGCTCAATAATAATAACGAATTTAATATACGTAATAAAAATTTACATCTACATTTTACTTACAAGTCAAGGGAGTGAAAATTTATTTGATTGTTGTTTGTACATTTTAATATCCAATTCAATCATCCATATATATAGTAAATTTGTAAATGTATTAAATCGTTTAGGATTTAGTCAAAAAAATAGGAATACAAGTACCTAAAAATTGTATAAAAGCAATAATTAAATTATTGGTTAATATTTAAAGCTAAATAAACGTTGTATATGCACAATATATTTTTATATTTAGTCTAATGACGCATTATTGATTATTTTGGATGAAAATGTTATTATACAATATAGTGATATTTCGTTTCATAATAGCGCATGTCAGATATGGATATTGTCCGATTTTATACGATATAGGTACAGAGTATATAGGTATTCATCATAACTCAACAAAAGACACATTTACGTGACAACTATAGACCATTGGATGTTCATAATGGTGTCGAGATTATTTTGACAGTGACAGTTAGTTATATATAAATGTAATATAATCGCTAAACGATTTATTATTGTAAGTGTGTACAGTACAATATAGCTTTATATACTACCTCGTTATAAATACATCTTTGAAGCGAATACAAGTGATGATAGAAGATACATGAGGCATCCATTTAAAAACGGCTAGCACGCATTCGATTGGATGATCACTAAACAATAATTATGTGATCACAAAGTATAAACCACGTACATATGTACATAATATATACAATAAACAATTCATATTTATATAATATAATAAATTTTTCATACAGTTCTTTGAAATTATATAATAGTATATTATTTCATAAACCCAGTAAATATATATGTATATAGAAAAAGTCACTTGAGAACCACTTAAAAAGTTTATTTCAAAGTTGAATCTCACTTAATGAAAACGATTTTTTCGTGAATTACTTATTACAACGTTTACTCATAGTCGTGAACGACCATTTGTCAGGTAAATTAAATCGCACTTTAAATAATAACGTCTCATAAGTTTTTCAGACAATTTTCGTTTTCGTCAAATTCTACGCATCCAATCTGATTTAATAAACCGTAATATAGAGCGATGAACTATTTATTCATCCGAGTAATTAAATAGTTTTAATTTAAAGTTTAGAAAGGATGATGAAATACATGTCCACGTATTTTTGTTCATTTAATTTTACAAATTTGTCTAAAATTAAACTGATCATTTTTATAAAATTTAAAAAATAAATAAAGTGCTATATATACATAATATTATAGTGTATATACAATTTATAGTAATTGAGTATTACACATATGTATACCTATACCTATCCTTATATTTTCACCCATTCAGACTTTAAACTAAAATTGCTATATATCTATATGTTAAAGGACACTACACCCGCATGCTCGATGTACCCGTCTTACAAACGCGCATAGCATAGCAAATTGATTATTCTGAATAATCCATTTAACCCTGGCATATTTAACAATAAATTTAACTATTATCAAATTTAAAAATGAGAATATAAACTAGTTAATCCCATAGGCTTTTTTTTATATTTTTATTTTAAAATAAGTTATGAACATTTTTAAATAAAAATATGAAAAATAACTTATAATTTTCACTAGTTTATATGCTTACTCATAGATTTAATTATAGGTTAATTCAGTGTAATATTACACATGACCGAGTTGAATGGATTTGAACAAATTTCTATGCTAATGCGTTTGTAAGATAGAGACACCATATGCGAGTGTAGCATACTCTTAAATTGAATGCCAATGTATTCATATATCTATAACATTATTAAATATATCAATTATTTTTTGAATACACATTTAATAATAATTTATAAAATATTTATGAATGAATAATCATTTGAGAAAAACTTGTTTATGTTTTATTTTTAATTTTAACAAGAAAAGCTTTTACTTAATACTGTAGCTAATTTTTAGTGAAATCCTAATTCCATTAACTGGCAAATAATAATAAGATGGCAATTAATAATTATCATATTATAATGAATAATCAAAAAGCAAATAAAATAAAATATTATTATTTAAATTATTAATATTTCTATTTCACAGCAGTAGCTAAATATAACTTTTATTAAACCTAAATTTTATAAAACGCTTATGAAATTTTAAATTTTATTTTAATAACAAAGTATTCATCTGATTATTATTTACTCCGTATGAAAATGAATAATGTCCAGAAATTCCAAAAAACTTATAAAAATTTAAGAAAATTATAAAAAAATTGAGAGAAAGAATAAAAGTTTTTTCGTCATACGGCTAAATCATGAGGTTTTTGATTTACATATTCAAGTATTTTGCTAAATTTTCATTTACAAAAACACTTCTACAGTTTTACTGCTTAAAAATATAAAACTAAAAATAAAGATTTCAATCAGGATATGTTTATTGTATACCTGTACTGGTATAATTTACACTAATTTATGATAATTTAAAAAATAAATTAGCCCTTTTCATTATATTTATTATTTAAACATTTTCGTACTCTACAACTCTCACTGCAGAGAGATGGCAAAAACTGGAGATACCAACGAAAGTTTATATAAATTTATAAATTATCAAATTATGTAATGTGAATTTATAATAACGAATTATAATTCTTGAACATATAGAAATTTCAATAAATATTTTCAAGATACGTTCATCCCAAGAGATCCTTAGAGATAAATACTTGTTCATATTAGAAATAGATTTTAACTATCAAATAGAGAAAATACATTAAGCCATTGGATGCTAGGTACTAGATATTTATACATGGACTATATATCATGTTAATATTTGTTGATGGAACTTGATGATAAGAATTTCAATAAATAAACAAAAAATCATTTGTGATTTTTTAAATATTTTCCTCGTTTATTTTCAGAAAGTTTTAAATTAAAAACTATTTTAAAAAGTTTCATCGATACCTATAATAGCTAATTGAGTAGTTTACGAATATATTATGACTATGTAGGTACTTACTTAAAACAAAACTAAGTATTCTATATTTCTACTGAAAATAATTAGTTGTAACTAGTGATAAATAACTATCATCTATATTCTATACCAGTAATCTTCAACCGATGACTCACGACCAAATTTTGAAAGGCGTAAGCTTTAAAAATGGGTTGCGGCAGATCTTCTCTTTAAAAAAATAAAAAGAATAAAACTATAATAAATAACAATGAAAAAAATTTCACGTAGTATGTATGTAATATGTAATTTAATATGTTATAATAAATCATATTAAGAGGACGTCATACCTGCATGTGTTGTCTCCGTTTTACACACATACGATTTAGACAAAATGTGTTAACGCAGTCTGAGTAGAACTCACTCAATTTTGATTCTAGAATAAATATACCTACTATAAAATTAAAATATGACAATATTTCGAAGGGCAAGACGCTAAATTTTTTTTTCCATTATTCCCAATATAACGTTCATTATAATCGTTTAAAATTAGAGATAATTTCAAAGTTTTCAAATAACCTTTAACTTTTCAAAATTTAAATTTAAAAAAAAAAACTCAGCGTCTTGCCCTCCAACATATTGTCATTTTTTAATTTTATAGTAGGTTATTTACTCTAGAACTAATTTTAAGCGAGTTCTACTCAGACTGCGCAAACGGGTTTTATCTATGTAGAACTTGTGTAAGACGGAGACAACACATGCGGGTATGACATCCTCTTAATATACAATATATTATTATAAATTATAAATAATTTAATTGGTGTCAAATCATAGTATACTCGTTTAAGAAGTTAATTAATATTAATACTTAATAATTCACTTATACATGAAAACATTTTTTAATAAAAATATAAAATAGTCATAAAACCAAGTTTTTATTCTATAGAAATTGTTTTCCCCTAAATTAATATCATTACATTAATAAATTAAAAAGTCCAAGTGCAAAAATACCACTTAAAAATATTTTAAAAAAATATTCATATACCTATATCATAAGTTTCACAATAATTCCTCAAAAAAAACTTTTACTTTATAAAAATAAAGAAATAATATTCTACTCTTAGGTTTTGAAAAAATCTAACATCAACAAGCTAAGTTGTCAATTTATCTTGAAAAAACTTGAGTAATTAATTTCCGTATTACTGGATAGTAGATAGCTATGTTTAAAACTTTGTTTCAAAAGAAAACTGACTGTGAATCCAAACTATTAAAGATAATGTTATTATAAGTTGTAGCGTACTATGATCATTAATATTATATTAAATTTGTGAGCATAAAAATGACGAACGTAAAATTTTTGCAGACGAAGGAAGCAGCCATTAAAGCTCTAGTCGAATTAGATGATCAAGGCGGTAAGGATGAATTAATATTATTAAATATGTATTAGTATTTAATATACCCCAGAAAGTTTAAGATAAACTATACAACATGCGTAGTTATATATTACACAACGTTCAAAACCACGTCCACTAATAAAACTGCTATAATAGGTATCTAATTTATTAATATAATAAAATATCCTTAGTTAAATACGAACCCTAAACTTTTATTTGTAATTACTGAGACCTCTTATCGGCGACGTATACACAAAGAGGTGGAAAAGTGGTCGTGGAATAAAACATCTTTCATATTATATTCAATCCATCTTAATATGTCGAATAACCCGAATATTTCCATTTCAAATATATTTGCTGGAAAAATTATTATACGTATAATACGACTACTACAAGTGTACATAATTGATAATAGGCATGCAATTTTCAGAGCCATATTTTAATTATATGTGTACATAATTTATCTACACAATGAATCTAATATATATATATATCTCATATACATGCTCAATTAAAATAGATATATACCATCCATTCCTCTTCTCGAACAAATTCTGGATTCATCGCTGTATGTAGTATGATATATATTTGAACTAAATAATATAGTAGGTACTAAATTCTGTTACCTTTCATAAAATAATAATTACGGCTCAACAAAAATAATAATATTTACAAGATCTGACAGACTTCAAAGCATATTATAAACCGTAGTCAGTAATACTGCAATATTTGTATCTCGTCATTTCTTCCTGTATACCTGCAGCAGTTACATCAAAATAAATTTCGTAATATCTTCAAAAATACGTCGCGTGGCTTAAATAAGCATATTTACTAAGGACTTATACAATATACCACATAGATATGTATTATGGTCTGTGTGATTTTCAGAAAAAATGGACAGGATCGAGGAAGGAATGGATCAAATAAACGCGGACATGAAGGAAGCAGAGAAAAACCTTACGGGCATGGAAAAATGTTGTGGTATTTGCGTGCTGCCTTGCAACAAGTAAGTTCCTACCAATATTTTAGTGTAACAACACTTGGCTTGTAATCAAATAAACAGTTGTATACATAGTGTCTCGGTGGAAACTGTCGAACGAAGTACATAAAAAAAAAAAAAAAATACGAACCTCTCTCGACGACTAATGCGTTTTATCTTTTGTACATCCAGGAAAAAATATCATAAATTGAATGGTTCGGCAGTTCGACCTACAAGACGAAATCCTATTTCGAATCCGATCCGAAAAAAATACACTCGAGTGAATTTATCACTAATTTATATTTGATTTCAAATGAAGTAATACAATTTTCCGGTAAAAGTACGAATGATATTTCCTTTATATGGATTTTTTTATTTATTTTATTTTTTTTATTTTTGAAAACAATTAGTAGTTAAAAGTTGGTAACGAATAAGTAGCAATAATACATAACTTTTATGTAACGAGATGTTATTAGTTCGAAAGTAGGCATTTTCCAAAACACATCGACCTAATATAATATTAATTTACACTCTAGGTTAATATATATTATAATATTCCTTACTTAAATATCATATACTTCGCATTTATATTTTTATAACTAGCACACTAAAATTTCCATCTAAATTCTCAAAACTAGTGTACATTTATTATGTATTGAGAAAATTAAACACGAACGTGAGCTAAATTTACCATATGAAAATCAGAAGAGTTAAGCTTTTTGGATACACGTTACAAAAACTTACACAAATTCATATTCAAATAAAAACTGCATTACATTCTACAGTTACACGCAACACACATATAGGTTTATAATAATTGATTAGAATCCTCGACGAGAGTGAAAAAATGATTGACGACGGACTTCAATCAGACGGATGGCACTGAACATTATTGCCTCTTTACGCTCCTGCTGCAATGAACATTTTTTTACATAAATTTGATTTCAATTGCAATATAAAATATACCCATATGGCACTGAAGCATCAATAGCCTACTTTTTTCTGCTTTTCATTCTAAAATATACTCTATGGAAGATAATTAGAATTTTTATTGCTATTTCATCGGTCTGATTATTCATAAACAGATTTTTTATGACAAACCATTTTTCCAAGGCAAATTACCATTTTTGTATATTTTACTGTATGTTTTTATTCGTGTATTTAATTTTTCACAATAATATGCGTACAATATACATAAATTACACCTGCAATAAATTATGAATTTTAGCTTTCCGTAGTATGATTTAAAAAAAACAGTTTATTAAAAAAGAACTTAGATAATTAATTTTAAAAACATTTTAAATAAAAAAGTTAATGTTTTATTTTTTTATTATTATTATTTTTTTTTAATCGTATGGTAATAGTGAAACAAAAATTTTAAACAAATACATTTTATTGAAATGCTGTATTAGTTGACTATTATTAAGTTCAGTAGAAACTTTTAGATTTAATATGGGAGTGAATTGACCCATTATAAAGCTTAAAGTTTTCAACTTTATCTGTTTTATTGAATGTTGGCTTTTTATAACGCTGCCATTTTTTAAGTGAATTACGATTATATAATTATATTTAATCTAATGCATTTAAGCTAACAAGAGTACAAGACTAAAACAATACGTGTAGGTGTGACGTTTTGTTAAATTAAACATAAAAATAGATAAATTTTAATCATACTTACTACTTTTTAAAAATTTTACAAGATTAAACAAACAACTACCAGCTAAAGCATTATCATCAGACATTATTTATATGTGCTGGGAAATTTGTATGGTATTTTACCGACTTTAATAATAAGTATTTTGCTTTGAAGCTTTAGCTAAATATTCTGTATAGCAATATAGTCTTGACATTCTACCTGTCTAAAACATATAATTCAATTATATACACGTTTATAACATTCTGATGTACATCTATGCAAATTATTACTGTATTACTTTTTTTAAAGCTGACGTTTATGAAAACGTTTTAAAAATTAATTTAATAGGTGTAAATTTATTTTGTTTGAGTTACACTTAAAAGTTTTTTACACGCACAATATTTAAAATTCGTTAAACACTTAGTCAATTTACTTATAATTGTTTCATGTCAACATTAAATCATAATTCAAAACATTAACGACCCATCAGGCCACCATTTTTTCCAAGTAAATTCATTATAAGCTTAAAGTGGCTGATGACCAAACTAGCCCCTCTCTCTCTCACTCTCTCACTCTCTCTCTCTCTCTGAACCGTCTATTATTATGGGTATTATATATATATGCCATTAATTCGTCTTAATTATTCTTCCACCTGGCTCTTCACTCTCGTCGAGCACTCTAATCAACGATGATGCTGATACGATCTACCTACTACAAGGTAAGAAAATATCTCATCGTTAGTAATATTAAATTGATTTTGCATAAATTATTATTACACTAAATTTTGAAGAAACAATTACCACTTCGAAATGCGTAATTCCAATATTTGCCTTTATTTATTTATATTTTTTACTTTTAACAATACAAATAATCGTTGTCATACTATTTTATTTTTTGTATTTTATTAGTGTTGTTTCTTTTGAAGTAGCTTATTAAATTTTAAATTGTGTTTATAAATTATATCATTCAATAATTAAATGCGAAGTTCTATAAACCACCATTAACGCTGAAATCAGTATAAAACTTTTAATTATTTCATTCTATAAGACTAATAGAATAATAGGCTACACCATGGTACATGTGTAAATAAATTACATTAAAAATAACACGTCATTATTTCTTGTAAAATATTTGCGTATTGTTTGTATAGATTTTAAAATTATTATGTATTCGAAGATAATATAATAATATATAAGTTGTTTATAATCATTAAAATATATATTCTGATCTGTTGTTGTTTTTTTTTTATCAATAGTTTTGTATATTAAAATGATTTGATCACAACTTTATGAGTTTAGATTAGTTTATTGGTACTTTAGCCATTACTTGTCTGTTATCTCAACTACCAAGTTTTGTTCTAACAATTTAAAATCTAATAACTTATTCTCGACGTTATTCTAACGCGTGTGACTTAAAATACAAGACACGAATATAATATTAGAATACGACTCATGACTTTTTTTCACGTTATATAATATAATATTAAACCTTGCATTTTATATTTCATTATTACCTATTATTCCGACATAATTATCGCATTCATCTCGGAAAGCTAGTATTTTATCATTAAATATTTATATATTTACAATATTAATTGATTGCCGTCCATCAATATACGATATATACAGTTTAAACGATTTACGCGTATGACGTAGTTTAATTTATTCAATTCAATATGCATAACAACATTAATTATATATGTATATACGAGTATATATCATAGTATTATGTTGCGTTTACAAAACAAGGTGTATGGAAATGAATCAACTCGTAGATACTTTGGAACATCCTTTGGTTGAATATTAATTATGAAAAGAAAATACCAATGAACAACTGATTTCATAGTTACACACTAACAATACAATAGGGAAATCATATACAGGTGTCTTGTGTATAATACAAGTCGAAAAGTCATAGTTTTGATAGTCGAGATAACGATCAAGTAATTTTGTTTTGTATTCAGTCATACAAACGTCGAATACTTCTGTACATTTAAACTGTTAATATAGTTTATTTATGTGTATAATACGTCATACTATATCATCGTTATTATTTTAACCTAGGTACTGGTAAACTCTTTTTTATATAGGCTAGTCGGTAATTATTATATTTTTCTTAACTACTAAATTGCATGTAAAACTGTAGTACCATTTGTTTGAAGTGTTTTGTACACATTGTATTACACAATATCTATTGAGTAATGTACATAAGACTTATGAACTTTTAGAATTTTAGATTTGTTTCAATTTTTGAGATAGGAATTATTGGATTTTGCAAACAGTAATGTCCTCTTAAAATAAAATACTACATAGATATACACGGGACTATACTCGTATATTGTATACTATTATATAAAAATTAGTATGCAACTATTTATATGTAGCTCTCAGTTATCATTTTGTCATAAAATCGTCAGGATAAGACTGCTATATATATATCTTTAATTATGGTATATATTTATATAAACTAAACAATAACGCATAATTATAATGCAAAATAAAGAAATTAAATTTGGAAATATAATCGTCAAGTACCCATGTAACTTAAATATATTTAGTAATAACCTACCTAGGAAATAAAAATAAAATATAAAGATATTGAAAATGTGTTTATCCTAATAAATCATTATTAGTGTAGTGTAGACAAATAATTTAAAGTGATAAATAATAATAAACGATAGTAAACAAACAAAAACTAAAACATTACAGATTCGCTATGGAAAATTTTTTTTAATTATTGAACTTTTGAAGTTTGAACTAAGCATACATATAAGTTTAATACCATTTATAAAACTAATAAGTTATATATTTAAACACTTAATATCATATTTTTTAAATTCTAATTTTTTACGAAACATAGTTTTTTTATAATTGACGTTTTATAAAAATAACTTATAAGTAAAAGAATGATATAAAAAATATTTTAATATTTTAAATATTAAATCTCTTCAAACATTGTAAAAAAGTTCACGATGGATGAAATATTTTTTCTGCATATTATACGTATTATGAATACACGTTTCTTCTTTAAAAAAAAATTATATACACTGTATAAATATTAAATTAAAAAGAAAAGTTTTATATTCAAAGAAAATAGAAAATAGAAAAAATATTAAAATTGAATTTTTTTCTACAAAACCGTTGTTTAAAATTACTGAATTTAGATTTTTACCAGGAACATAATAAAATTCAAAATAGCGACGTTAGTGCGTTGGGAAATATTCTCACAGTAAAAAAAATCCATTGTCAACAAGTTCAACCCAAATGTTTTTTCTCCCCGAAAACACTTATATTCTCTGTTTTTCCTAAACAAATTATATAGTGTTACGCTATTATATTTAGGTCGACATCTTTCAAGGAAGACGAAGGCACGTGGAAAGGAAACGAAGATGGCAAAGTAATAAACAAACAACCCCAGCGTGTAATCGAGGGACCGAACGTCACGCCACAGGGTGGATATATTGTGAAGTAAATTGCTATTTAATTGAGAATTAATTAACAGAAAAAAAATATAAACGAAGATATGCGTTCATATAGGATTACAAACGATGCCAGAGAAACGGAAATGGATGAAAACTTGGGACAAGTAAACACGATGATTGGTAACTTGAGAAACATGGCGTTGGATATGGGTTCCGAGCTTGAAAATCAAAATCAACAGATCGAAAAAATCAGCACTAAGGTAAATGCTTCGACTATACAAACGATTTGTGTCTAAAAACGAAATTATGTCCCTATAGGTATTTTCAAAGTTACACGAGATGTGTCTCAATGAAAAAAATGTAGATACATGTACCTATAAGAATCTAGAACTTTATTCATTTTCAATTACGATAATATACCGTCATAAAAAAATTATACTTATTTTTGTTTCTATTAATAATAATAATCGTATAATATCGAATTACTTACTAGTTCTTCTATTATAGTAGTTCTATATTATATTATTTTATCAATTCTCACGTAAAATAGGAAAAGTGTTGTATTGAAATCGTTACGTTATATATAATATATTATTCGTTATCTTAATAATCTTCATCGTTAGTCGTCAATAATTAAGATAGATGGGTACAATCTAAAATATAACCTAGCTCTGCTACGTGATTTTAATTTACATTTACGATAATAACATATAATAAAGATAGTAAAATATCTAGCTACGTCACAGTATAATTTTTACGAAAACAGTGTACCTGAACATTATTCTTGCCATTGGAAATCGACTCGTCTATCTCTATTTTTTCGTTAGACACAACTCGTATACCAGTTATTTTGTCGGGACATAACTTGTTAACTGCGAATAGGTACTCATTTAGTATTGATTTCGGTTTTAACAATGATTTTATAATATACCTATAGCATAAAATAAAAATTATTAATACGCATATACATATTTAATGGCTAACATATACCTCCTACCCATGTATATTCTAAATATTTATGAAAATAACAACGCAAATTAAATGTAAAATATTATGTTCAATGTTTTAGACAAAATCAAACGATTTGCGGATTTCAGCGGCCAACCAAAGAACAAGAAATCTTCTTAAATAAACCACTAAACATTAACCTTATGCACGCGCGATTTATGGTTGTCAAAATCGAACATTATAAATGGATTTTTTTTTTACATACTCAAACTTCGTGAGTAAATATCGTGTCTTCCCTGCATGTCGTGTTAAACTTAATACAGCATTAAATAATATTATAGAAATAGGTTTATAAAATAATAATAATTTATAAATAGATGTATTACATGTGGTTTATAGTATCTATATAATAAATATATTGTGCGCTTCTGTTCAATAACTGGTGTAGACACTTTGAATACATACAAAATATCTAATAATATCGGTATTAACAAAATTCTCATTTACAACTTTCACCAACTCGTGACAAGTTTTCATATTAGCAAGCGTCAAAATTAATTTTTTGATGGACAGTCGGACAGTTTTGGATTTTTTTTCATAAACCTTTTAAAGGTCTCGTGTTTATTCTATTTGTATACATAGCATTTTATGTCTATCGACAAGTTACAAAAGACATCCTTTCACTTTTTATATGATAAATAATGCACGTTTCATAAAAATATAAAATACAAATAAATAATAATGCCGTTGAAATTCCAATTTAAACTTGCCGCCATAAACCGAACTATCGTGATTATAATTTAGTTATACTCAGTGACTATTACTATTTATAATTGGCACTTGCATTTGTGTACGAGTGTATAATACAGTAAAATATAAAACTTGAATATTATACAGATCCGTCCACTTCATAACTAAAAACAGAGTTCATTATTTTTGCTAAACAAACTCTGAATTTAATAATTACGAGTGCGTTGAAATTCTTCTTTTCAAAAAATGTAACTTATCATTATCAATCTCAAAAATATTATTGCTAACATACAGTTAATTATTAAACATATTATAGATATATATTTAAACACGTTTATACCGTATTTTGTCTCATTTATAAAATGTTCATCATGTATAAATGTATAATACTTTATGCGAAACTGTTGAGCTCAAATAATTCATCACAGTATATTATATTCTCAGCCAATTAAAAGTGAATTGTATTTAAAAGTCGTGAATAAACCTATTTTTATATTTACGACTGTAATAGGGTACTCGCTAAAAATACTTCAAACAATATTGATTATGCATTTGTCAAATATAGACCTATTCAAATTAGGTCATTCTTGCGGTAATTAAATGGATTACTAATTGAAAATGCTTTTAATTATTATTAATTGTATTGCCGTAAATTTCTAAAATGTTTAAAACGCTTTAAGTAATTTAACTACATCAAATCGTGTGTAATGAATAATGATTATACACATTTGAACATTTTACGTACAGTTTCTGTATTACTATAATGTTACTGATAAAATGTTCGATATTAGTAACTGCTTAAACTGAAAGATTAATGCAATTTCAATGATATTTCTAACATCGAAGTTTTTTCCGTTTATATACTTATAAATAATAACTATTAGTTATTACTTATAAATTATTATTTTATTAATATAAATTTTAATTAGAAAAAATTTATAACAAGTTATTTAAAAAAAATGTCTAATTTATTTTCTTTCTAATCATAATTATTATATTCAATGTTCTATGCGTACTAAAAATATATAACATAATTTCAGATTTATATATGCCTATGTAAAAAACAGTATAGAGTTACACAAGTATTCAAATTCTACCAGCTTGTCCACGGTTATTTCAAATATATAAGTAGCAATTGTTTTTACATTATTGAAAATCCTGACCTATCTTTAGTTAAAAATTTAAGTTGAGTTTACATGCCTAGCCATAATAACTCAAAAGATTCTGTACTCTAATAACCATAATAACATATTGATGTTTAATGCTTAAAATAAACTGAATACACTATAATCAATGCAAATTGTGATTGTATAATTTTTAAAACAAATACACGTATATTAAAAAATTTCGTTTAAAAATAAAATTATTGAAACAGATTATTAAATAAATAACTACATTTTTAAAATTTTTAACAATTTTTCATTAACATTATAGTAAAATGTATAGTTAGAATATAATTAATATACTTGAGATTTCTGTAGAATATAATAAATCATATTGTTCTCGAAATTTAGCATTTTGTTTGCATCGATCCGACACGTTTAAAATAGTTAATACCATTGTCCATTTGACCCTCTACATATAACAAATATCTAAAATCCTACTTGGCAATTTGTATAATACTCGCAAATAAATACCATGTACGTCTACACGTAATAAAGATATATTATTGTTACATTGAATGATAAGATATATTTAATATACCTATAGCTGAATATTTCGCTAAACCATAGATGATTTTATATCTGAACATTTTTAAGCTCACTACATAAATATTATTAAATCATATTGTGTTTATATTTTATTTTATATAGACATTTTTTTTTTTTTATAACTCATAAAAATATCCAAAAGCGACAGCAATCATTCAATGCTCTGTGATGTTTTATATATATCCTGTTCGTAAAAATACATATAAACGGAATAATCGTACGAAATCCGTTTCATGCATATATTATTTTTATGTACTTACCAATTATTATTTTTAAATTTTATCGATGTCAAAGCTTTTTTTTCTTCAGTTGTATGTACCCATCCAAATTGTTTATTTTTCATTATTATCTGTAAAATAAATAAATGTCAATTAGAAAGTAAATCGTATTTTTTTTTTATATATACCTATATTTCCTATTAAAAGATATTTTACTATAATACTTTACGTATAGATCTAAAGACTATTATGTAAGATTGCTAACATATACCTTTACCGAAGTATAAAATGTATGATATCATTTTAAATTATTTAATTTATTAATCTTAGTGACTCCGGCCAATATAAATACTTTATAGCAAAAGTGACCGATATAAAAATTTATAAAAATAAAAAATAGAAAACATCTAAGAAAATCTGAAATCAGCATACCTATTTAAATTTAAAACAAACGAGTTTTTAATACGCAACTATTTATTTTTACTGTCACTTTTATACCTCATTCAAAGATGTACAGCAACTGCTCTAATAAATCAGTAATGTATAATGGATCACAGGTCACCATCTGGTGACCTGTGGACAAATCATAATTTGACCAGCAGACAAGACATATAATTTTTAAATTAAACTCTTTTGTGGCGAATCAAATGACATTTTTATTCATTTCCATTTTACCTTTACTTTATTTTGGATAAACGTATTCATTACATTTTGATGGCTACTGAAAATACAATCGTCTAGATACCCAGGTAAATGTACAAATACACATACATACATAGGCAGGTTTTTTACGTTATTGGAATATTGGATTGCATTGCCTATCCTAGTATTATTAATCAATAGTACCGTAAAACAGGATGTGAGGTAGCAAAATTATTAGTTCAAGAGTGTACCTATCTTTATATAGTGAAGCAATTTAATTTTATAGATGTAGGAATTTACAATTTGTACTCTTATTTTTAAAATATTTAATTAGTATTTTAAATTTTTAAATAAGTCTAAAGTAAAAAAAAAAATAATGAATAAAATATTTTTTAAGTATTATGTATTCATTTATACGTGAGTCAAAGATTTGTAAAAAGTCGTAAAAAATATAGTTAGATTTTTTTAAGTGTTCGTAGTATTAATTTATCAAATTTATGATTTAAATCGTATTCATTTAAAAATTAAATTTAGATTTGACTAGCTTAAACTAAAATGCAAGACCATTTCTATGACTCTATTATAAAATAACTATGAATTGACGAATATACATATTTTACACTTTTACAAATATTTAATCGCTTAAAAAAAAAGTAATTTGAAAATTTAGAAGAAATAACGAATTATTATTTTGTGAAAAATATCTGCACATGTTCACAAACTATGGTAAATCTCTGCCCCTCCCCCTTAGGCCTTAATTAGGTATGTTTTCTAAGTACCACCACACAAACACAATTAAAATGAGCAGCTGTACCCGTGTAAAATATCTCGTTATTACATGGTATGTAAATAACTATAATATATGTTTTAATAAATATTGTATATTTTTCAAACGAGCCCTTAATTCTGAGTTGACTGCAATTTTGTTCTGTTGCGTTCATTAATTTTCCATTAATAGAATTTCCGTTGATCCTATAATAAATCCGGGCGTGTATTTACTAGGTTTTACTCTTCGCATCCATATTTATAGGCGTGGTCTCATCGAACACACTGAAAACGCGATGGCGCCCAGCAGCACTCGGAAAAACTTAACATTGCATGTAGACACTCAGTGGCCGCGACGTCGGAAAAGGCCCAGCGTCACGGGCAGCGGGAATGTTGTCGTCAAAAATCGCTATTGCGCCCAGAAAATTCCAGCATCGTGCGGAGATGTCTAGCATCTTTCACTGTCGCCAGTAGTTACTCACGATTTATCTATTTTGATTCTACTGGTGCCTCGTTGATTGATCACGATTTATAACCACCTGGTTTGTGCATATTAAAAACCCGGCAAGTGAAGTTTTATCTCATATCGACACTTGATATTTTTACGTGCATAACGACATTTCGATAAAATAATTTTTATTACCGAAATGCGCATTTGGGATCACCATGAATAAATCGATTGGGCAAGTGCTTTTATTACAACCACGAACCGGTGCATGCCACGGGTCAGATCCTCGCACCTCATTATACGTACCTTATTATAGCTACGGTCACACATCCGACGCGATGTTAGTACGCTTTCCGACGTCAAACGTATCGTGCAGAGTTCATTTGTGACGATCAGCGTGCTAGGATTGAGACCGACTATGTCCAGAAAGCTCATGACGCACATGTATTGTGCAGCAAATAATTGCCGAAAACCCAAGAAAAAAATGTAATAGATAAAATATGCTAGTATATATAACTACAAGGATTTATAAAATGAAGCAAAGCACATTTTACACACAAAAAACATACTTCGAGTGGCGATAACATATATTACAATGTATACATCATACATAAAATAACACGACGTATTACCAGTAAAAAATGAGACCAGTGCTCGCTACACTAGTAGAGTGTAAAATATTACACGACTTCTATGGTCTAGATATTGTTAGGTATCAATACTGCGCAAAACTGAGACTTAATCATTTATTTCTACTGTATTCAAAACCGATACTGCAAATGAAGTAAATAACTACACATTTATTTGAAAATTTCAATTCTACAAAACATATTTTAAACAATTAAATTACTCCAATTTATCAACACATTTTAAGAAATATGCAACATAGATTATGGGGGGAGGCTATAGTAGCAGATCAACAATAACAAATTTATGTGTATTTAAAAAAAACATATTTAATTCTTTTAAAACAAAAATCAAACGGATTTACGAATAATATATTATACAGATATGGAAAAATTATTTGATGAAATAAATCATACCTATTGACACCTTATCGGTTTCAAAACCTAATGAATACAGATTTGAAAATCCTCTTTTACATAAGTAATTACTTTGATTAATTTTTATCAAATCTTATTCATATAATAAAATATGATAATTTATTTTCAAACACAATAAGTGTTAATTCTAGAATTTCACAAGGTGAGAACTTGTCTTGCATTTATTTATTTTTCAGTTTCTAATAATATTTCAAAAATAGTCATTCATTCAATGGTGTTTAAATACGGAAATACAAAATGCATTGTATTTATTTAAATAACACTTACGGAAATTCCATTTATCAAAATTAAAGAATACAATTTATTTTAGAGTTTTCTAAGATAAATGTGTTAATATTTAATTTTCACTGAAAAAAAATCGTATTAGGTACACAAAATATTATTTAAATGATTTAGCCGTATAAAATGCAAATTACCAACTATTAACGATATAAGAACTACATTATTTACATTTGATTCTAAATTATCTTTCAGTAACTATAATGAATTTATTAGAAATAAAGATTTACAAATACTAGAATAATTTATTAATACATACCTGCAGTCGTGCGGAGATTTTCAAGATGACAGTATTTTTAAACCATTATTTGTTTATTAATTTTATCATAGTTGGAACACCTATTGGCTATTGATCCTTTATATTATATGTATATAATACATAACTATAAAAGACACTCAAAGCTGTTACAAATAGTTTCCTCTTTCCTTAGATTCCTTTCATTCCAATTTCATGAGCATAGGATCCTATATTCCAGCTACTTACATAGTGAAAGAATTTTAATTTAGCCAAGCTATAACTATATAATTTAACAGAAATTCCTCTTCAAATTATTAAATACGTAGTTAAATGAATTCTTTGAAAAAATTACTAAAATATATCGACATTGAAATAAGTGCAATAAAGGGATTAAACGTAATTTTATTCAAAGAATATAAAAAATATTTAACTATATAGATGATCCATTTAATACTATGTTAAAATACTATGCTTTGTTAATTATATAGCTGTAAGAAACACTATATAAACTATTGATTTTTTAATTTATCTCTTGATAATTTTTAGTTAAAATTATAACTATTAGACATATTAATTAAATTATTTTTGTTAGATATTAACTATTGACATTGTTATTAATATATTACTACAATTTACTACTACGTACGAGTATGTTATATCATATTAACTTTGCTGTTTTAGATATATATTAATAAATTATGTTATTCTTACATCAAGTTGAACAGTTATGAGACACCATAAACTTCGAATAACTATATTGTCATTGTAATCATTTTGTGTATTATATTGTAAATTTAAATCAATTTTCATCAATTAAGTTTATTTTTATTATTATATATATGTAAATTTTCTATATTAATAAAAGACAAATCATTTAAGTGTGTGATAGATTCAGCAAAGTATCTACTTACTTTTTACTTTACAAAATGAGGTTGTCAATTATAGTTATTGATGTATATCGTTGACATTGGTCCCCCTTAAGACCTTCATCCAACCATTCCATAAAATGCATATAAGAGAAGAGCTCGACCGACAACCCCCCTATCAGTGTTATTCCTTTTTTTTTACTCTTCAGCTAGGCCCCTAGTACCTATAAATAAATATTATTTTAAAATAAATTAAAAATTTTATTTTGGATAGTATAAAATTTATAATAATATAAAATATATAATAGTTAAAGTTCCCACGAATAATATTTTTAAATTATAACAAAATAATTAATATATCGCTATTTATCGTTTAAATAAGTAATTTCATCAAAATTGGAACTTGTCTATAAAAAATAATCGTTTTGATACAAAATAGTTTGTTATTTTTTTTATTTTTTACTTCAAATTTATATTAAAAAAATGTATGTCTATGTATTTTTAATATGTTTGTATAAATATACGAATATCTTTTGTAGGATCTTGTATTAAAATTTCGAGCATTTCATCCAGCAAATAATTTTTAATCGATATTTGAAGAAAAAAAATAAAATTGAAAATTTCTTGTGCCTATAAATAACTCAAAAAAAGTTGTCAATTATGTTAAAAAAAATCATCAAATATATCTTTCCAGCACTCGTCTGGGAACACTTTAGCGGTGAACAGTCCGGCGCAGCTAAACGACCACACAAATCATGAAAAATATTTATAATTATTTTATAACATATTATTTACATTTTAACCGACTTACCACTTGCGGTACATAGTTCATACGTTTCTATCTGTGGTTAATACAAATGGTATGCTAGCGTCATGAAGGTGGTCGGTGACGGTGCAACTTTTTCTGTACATCGGACGTCCAGATGGCCGACTGCCGGTCCTTCAAAAGGGCATAGATCTAAAGATATTAAAATAAGATATTTTTTTATATACATATATATATATATATATATATAATACCGTATTATACTGTATAGAACCTTTTAGTACTTTAAATTATCGGAAATTTAACACAGGTTATAAAACCATTGTTAATTATGAAATATGAATCATTTTAAAATTAATTAATTGAAAAATGGCTAAAAGGTCAGAAAACATTTTAAAAACACATAATACAAGAATTACTTTAGAGCAAATTCACTAAATTAATATTTAGTCATGCTACCGCAATTATGATGTACCTACGATGTACCCCATACATACCTAGTGACTAGAAATGATTTAAGTTTAAAATACTTTAATTACAATTCATTTTTCATAGTAAATTATATTTTTTAAATATCAAATACATTCTCTTAATAAATTTTAAAATAAATTAGGATTTGAGTTACCTTATTATATTCTACCAATTAATATATAAATATATCTACTAAATTTTTGGTTTCACATTTTTACTTCTTATAAATACTAAGTAGTAAGTACTTATATTTAATATGAGAAATTTAATAAAAAACGTATTTTATCTTTAAAGAGTGTAAATAAATAAAAGTATTAGGGTACCTATTTGTTTTTTTACATTAAACTTTTAAATAGAAATAAATCGAAAACCATAATTAATACTTACCTGTATTCTACCTCATCCGTGTGTACCGGTGTACCTATATATTTTACAATAATATAACAGTCGTACAATTGATTTGAGTCATTTCTAATGCACGAATGATAAATAAACATGTTACAATATCATAAATGATAATAATAAATAATAAAAATATTATTTATGACAATAACGACTAAAAGTAACGCCTTAACTTTTTTTTTCTAGGTATATCATACGTTTTCAGTCGGGGACACGAAAAATGGCGTGCGACAGCCGCGATCCTAACGGTAAAATCGTCTAACGTGTTCTCAAAACTCTAAAATCAATTGGCTCGCCGTTTAAAAGTACTCGTTTTGTAATGGCGCAAAAATAACGCCGCAAATTGAGAACCATTGTTTGCAGACAGAGTGAAGGTCGGTGTACAACGAAGATCACACGCCAGTTTTCGTGTCTTCGACTATAATATTTCGTATAACACAGTTTTATACCGTTGTATAATACAAACCCTTAACCCACGTCTCTGCGATCATAGACCAGTAACGGCCTGGCGAAATTAAATATTTTTCAACTTGTATCCACAACTATTATGAAAATAATTCTTAATTAAAAATCCTCATAATATCTATGCTTGTACCGCGGCGACAATACGCTTTTCGGTGGATTGATTCGAATCGATTCCACGGTTCCGCCATTGATTGCCGTACCATCATACCGCACAACATTATCAGTCTTATGGTTACTGACGCGCGAAATAAGTTTATCGTCTATGATAAAAATAATATATAAATAGACATTTTTTTATCAAAATACGAACACGGAACACTAGCGCTCATTACAGTCATACTGTCACAATGACACCTCGGACTTCTACCGTTTTCAAAGCATTAAGACTTTTTCCGTGTTTCTATCGTTCTGGTAATCAAATTAATATCCTTAATCGCGGTGAAATGAATTATTGTACTTATGAGATTGTTGTTAAAAGATTGGCGATACGAGATCAGCAACGAGCACTTCAATAACGACTTAGGATCAATGTCTTACCACAAAACATGTTGACTTACCGTAGAATTTACGTCGTGACTAGCGGTGATAAGACAGCAACTGTAACTTCGACGCACGTTAATTGCAAGGCATCTGTAGTTCTTGACTGTTATGCGGTACCCGTCTACTGTCTAATACGATGTAGTATGTTTAATTTCAATTATAATAATTAATCAGATAATTAAAATAAACAATTTTTCCTGCCTGTTGGTTTGTATCGTAGACGATAAAGATCTTTATTATTGAGTCGGCGAATTGTACCTTGGAACACTGATACTTCATCCTGTGACTGGTAAGTACTAGTATTATTTAACTTATTTAAAATTAAATGTAATATTTAGAGACGCCAATCTTAGCTATTCGTTAGAGCGTAATTTTTTTTTTTTAAATAAGACATCGGTCACTCTAGTATTGAAATTACAGAACTATGTTCATGTTCAGAAAACTTTTAATTTATTATTTTACACTTGTGCAGAAGAATTGAAATCCCCTTAAGTACCTATTTAAAACATTTTTGTTTATTGATATGTCATACTATAAGATTGTAGACATTGTCAAAATTGGAGCATTATTTGTATAATGTTTTATTTAGATAAAATATACTAAAATTAATTAAAGCATAAATGGTCTTATTAAAAGTTTTACAGGCAATGTTCACATTTTGATTAGTGACATGCCTGGAAGCCCCTTACCCCTTGCATTGTCTGTATTAAAATGTAAAAATATTTTGAATAAACACTGAAGCAGTTGAAAACTTTTAATAAAATTTGTGTAAGGAACTTAACCATCTTCATTTACTCAATATTAACAATAAGGAACTACTGAGTTAGGCTAAAGTAATCAAACAATTTTCCAAAAGAGCATAGAATAATTCGCTATCTAATAATTAAAAGAAATAATAAAGTTAAATTGATAACAAACATTATTAATATAATTTAACATATCATATTGGTAATAAAACAGTATCTACCACTTAAATATACTTACATAATATGCTGTAATAGAAATTAAGTATACAAATGGTACATTATAATAATTTATGATGAAAAAATTGTATTAAATTACCTAATTTGTACTTACAATTTTCAACCATAATGACCTCTCCCCATGAATAAATCATAAGTATGACATTGACTTAGACTATTAAACAACTGTGGAGTATAATTATATTTTTAAATCTTTTATAAAAAATGTCTTTGTGTTTAAATTGTGCAGCTAGATAAATATACCATTAATATAAAGATTATAAAGTATTAATTAGATTGCAATTAAAACTAACTATCTACTTAATAATATAAAGTTTATACAATAAAGAATAATTATTTTATTTTATTTTTTTCAATTATTAATTTAATTTTAGTCATTACTTATTCATATAATATTATATTAATATTTCAGAATAGTGTATGCTTCTAATTAAAAAAATAATTTTATTATTCCAAGATTTCTTTTATTAATTCATTTTCATGAATTAACTTAAATATCATGAATTTTCAAATTATTTCAACCTGTATTAGAAATTTATTGATCTAAACTGGTGTAACATTATCCTGCGCTAGGATAACAAACCATATCAATGAAAAGGTGTAAACATCCCAAACATATTTTTTTTTATTTACCAGTTTAGACGAATGCATTTCCATTTAACCATAGACCTTATTAGTATGAGCCCTATAAAGTTTATGCACATTGCACAGAATATTCTGTGGTTTATGCTTCTAATGGTCATAAACTTATCAATGTTATGCTGATAAGTGATATCAGTTAATTAATATAATTTTGTAATGATCACTAATCAATTTAAAAATGTCAATAAATTATTGATTTACTTAAAAAAAAACATTTCAATTAAATGATTATTACATTTATCTATTTAATTTAGATAAAATAATAAGTAAAATGAATAATTGATTTAGTTCAGTTCAGTTATTTTATTTTATAACACCTACTTGTTTTGTATTTAAATACAGTTAAAAAATTTTTTAAGAACAACTATAATAAATATCCAAACTTATTCAATTCTTTAAAACATGGTAATGCATAACTTGAATTATTTTTAGTAACTAGCTGATTCTAAGGTTAAGTAGATAGGGATACAACATTTTGTTTTAAGATAGCTATGGGTTACTGAGGTTAGTTTAATCAAAACAAAATTTGTCTATGGTACATTCTTTAAATGAATTTGATTTTGAAAATTATTCAAATAAATGAAGCTAAATTATTAATTTTTATTATTATTATAACATAATTTTATTGTTGGTATTATGATCAAACTTTACTTTGATGTTTAAATCCTATTATTAAAAAAAAAAAAAATGTTTTACCTATAGATTTAATTTTATATATCTCATATTAATCAATCATTATAAAGTTTGAGTATTTTTCAATTATACAGTTAAATCATAGATATAATACTATACAAAAATTAGACTATTATTTAACAATTCTTATAATAAAACTTATAAAAATACCTAATAAATAGTTTTTCATTATAATTATTTTGTCAAAAATATATTCAAGTCATTTTACAAATAAGAAATGATCAGATTTACAAATAAATACCAATACAATTGGTATAAATCATAATTAAATCAAAAATAAAATATATTTATAATAACAAACATCATACGCTTAATCCATGTTTAGACATTGTTTTATATATATATATATATATATATATAGTATTGTTTAACTTTTATAATAATTTATTTTTGTTATTGATGATTATACTAAATGTATGTTAGTTAAATATTATATTACAACCAATAATCTAATAACTTAATATAAAGATTTAATAAAGTTAAAATGCAAAATTCAGTTTCTTTGGAATAATTTATCATATTATTAATTTGTGGATTTCTTTTTTTTCAGATAATATTACTATCATAATTTAGAATGGCTAAAACAATAGATGATCTTGAAGTATTGATTAAATTACCTCCAATATTGCTGAAAGCATTTTCTATCAATATTAACTATGCCAAGTGTATGAAATGTAATCTTTCATGTGCATCTGTAGAGGATGATATTCTTTTCCATCTGTCGGTATGTAATGGAATGCTCATTGACGAAAATATCCAATCTGTATTTAAATTCACTTGTTTGAAGTGTTGTTTTATAACTGATAGTATTGATCAATGGAAATGTCATTTATTTAAACTTGATCATATTTCTATTGATTTTGATTCAGATATAAAAAAATATTCATATGATTGTAATTTGTGTAAAACTCATTTTTACGGATTTAAATATAGTATACTACAACATCAATGCAAACCTAAATGTATTTCATCATTATCAAAAGTGATGGCCTATGTGTATGCAAAATATACTGTTGAGGATAAACAAACCATGCTACATTATTGTACAGATTGCTTTCATTTCACTTATGATACAACAATAAATGATTTTTGCACTCAGTGCCATAGTGAAGCTGCCAATAAATCTGTATGCAATTCGTGTTGGATAACATTTTATGGTTCTAATAATGAAGAATTTTTAAACCACAAACATTCATTTGAACATATAGTTTTGTGGTGTTTAAACGGAGCTCGAAGTGTACCAAAACTGTCAACTCTTGCGATTCAGAAATTGCCTTACTACATAACAAAATATTTTGTTATAAGTTCACTGTTAGAAAAATTTTGTTGTATTGTCTGCAATAAAAAAAACATATTGACATATGAATGTATTTATGATCATTTTATTGAATGTATTTCATCCAAAGAAATTTCTTGTATTGACAACTGCATTACATTGCTAACGGTAAATTGTAATGTATGTGATTATTTATGTTCCGCAGTTAATGAAAATTTGTACGAATGTTGGGTGGACCATGTAATAAGTTTTGATCATTTGAGTAAAACAATGGTTGGAAAAAAATACACACAAAAATTGTTTTCGTATTACTGTTATGTAAGTGAAACTGTATTTTATGGAACTGATTCTTTTATTTTAAATTTAATATTGAAAACGAATAATGATATTGGACGTCAATTATTTATACCAGATTTAATGGCTCAAGTGTACAAAAACGTCACTAATGCACATTTTAGTTGTAATATTTTATTTTGTTGTGGAATTTGTCAAAACTATAAGGACAAACAGTTATTTGATTGTGTACATAAAGATAACGATTCTAGACAATCACTTTTTTGTTCCACTTGTTTAGTAAAGTTCAATGTCCATTCTGACTACTGCGAACATCTTGTTAGTAGTGAGCATATTATTTTGAAATATTTTAAACCTAACCAAATAGGCGAGCTCAAGATTCTTGATCGTTCTATGGAAACAATGAAGATTTATTTAACTAATTCTATTAAAAGTGATGATGATGATGATGATGATGATGAAAATAATGATTGTATCAATGATGAGAATGATGATTGTATTGATGATGAGAATGATAATTGTATTGATGGTGAGAATGATGATCGTATTGATGATGAGAATAATGATCGTATTGATGATGAGAATGATGATCATATTGATGATAATGATGATGCCTCTAATAATGTTCATGACATTGAAAACAATGATGATGATGATGATGATGATAATAACGACAACTCTTACAAGACTAAATATGAGGACAATAATGAAATGATTACTTCTATACAAAATATAAAAACCCATGATCTAGAAGAAAACATTTTGAATTTAATAGAAAAACTATCTGCACAACCAAAAAAATCAGCTTTTAACAATTACTTAAGAATGAATTTTGAATTAATAATCCAAATGCCACAAGCAACTAATGTTTTCATCGAATCTATTACATATATCTGTGACACTTGTAATCTGGTTGTTGGTAATCGTGATGATTGGATTAAACATGACGAAAAATTTCATAGGAAAAATGATGATTTATCAATTGTATACTGTGATATTTGTCGTGTTTACTATGTGAATATTTCTTCTATTTTTATTGGTAATCATTTGGTGACTGATGAACATTTAATAATGAAAGAATTTCAAGAGTACATGAAAACAATTTTGGTCATACCTTCAATAAATAATATTGATAATTGTAATAACTCAAATCCCATCAATAATGACAAAGGTTCTGATATAAAAATTGAAAAAATCCAAACTTTAAAAAAACACAAAAAAAACAAATTCGTTCATATAGAAATTAAAGGTGAACATTATTTTATACTCTACGAGTATTTTCTAAAACTTAAAACATTCAAATTCAATAATTTTAATACTTTTGATTTTTTAGACGTCAATATTAATTTAAAAAGAAACAATTATTGTTCACTAAACAAAATAATTCAAGAAAGCTATGGCAATTTCAAACAGATTAAGAACGTAGACAATTCTTTCATAATTTTTTTCGAAAATATGTAGGTTTACTATTTAATTTGTCTATTATAATGATAATTGTAGTTTGGTTTTTTTTTTTTTTAATTATAATTTTCATTTAGAGACCAAGTTAAATGTTTAGTTGAGGATAAAAATAAACTGGAAGAACAGTATGGCTTTACAATACAAGTAATAGGAAATAATCAAGGTGATAATTTTTAATAAACTAAATACAAAATTATTAATACTTTGTTTTTCTTTGTAGAAAAAGTTATATCATTGAAGACAATAGATTTATTTAAAGATTGGAGCTTGTTGTGCGATACAATTTCCAGTGATTTGGAGATTATGAATAAGACATTAACCAGTTCAAAAATACAATCTTATATTCAACAACTGTGTGATTCGATAAATAGCCTTCAAATCGGAACAAATTCAAAAAAGATTCACATTTTCGGTTCCCGGATTTATGGACTAGCTACAAATATGACTGATATAGATATATATTTGGAGACAGGTGTTTTAACTTACATTAATTATTAAACTTCAAGAATATACTATAAATATTAGATTGCAACTTTTTATAAGTTAAGAATAATTTAGAGTAAATATTTTATAATATATTACATAGACATTTGTTTGTATTTATTAGATAGGAGCAAAAAGTTGAAATTAATATTTAGGCTTAAAAAAAATAACTATGATGAAGTTATTTTACTTTAAAAACATTCAATGTTTCTAGTGTCATTGAATTTAATTAAAGTGTATATTATACAATTTGAATTCAATGATAAATTATTGAATATGATAAATGATTTTTAAGTGGCTATCGTTACTAACCTCTTTTTCTAAGAACATTTTTACTAATATTTACCAAAAAAATTGTATATATTATATTATAACCATTCTATATAATAATATTAGTTATATAATGTAATTAATTTATTATTAGTAACTTATCAGTTAAGGTCAATGTGGTGACATACTTAAAGACAATGTGAAGACATAAAAGTAACTAAAAATTAGTCTTGATAATTTGTAATTCTCATATTCAAAATTTTTTGAATCCATGAATATGCCATTAGTATTGTCTAGCAATATTGTGTTATACTATTTGAAAAATTGCATTGTGTATAAAATGTAATAATGTACATAAAAATAAAAAGTTTCTACTCCATAATTAATATTCCTTGAATTCCAACAAATTATACGCTTTATGAGTTTTTAACTGCAAAATAAATTGAAAATTTTTATAATTTTTATAAATATTGAACTTTAAAAACATATAAAACAAAATTATACCCATGTATTTTCAATACTTTTAACACATTGACGGACAGTTTTCATTTATCTAAATTCCCATAACCTACTTTTAAAACGCGCTTTTTTATTGCTGATATAGCAGTAACAAAATTATTACTGCTATAGCAGTGGTGCTGTACGTACATTGAAAAGTCAATGTAAGTTGACATTACTGCTATAGCTGTAATCATTTTTTTGATTATAATACATCAAAATCATAAATAACTATTAAAATCATAACTTGGATCGATATCAGAATCGTCCCCATAAGAAAGCAAATTAGAACCACTATCACTCTCATCCAAATAATTTTGAATTTCATTAATCTGTTTTCGGTTCATATTTGAAAACGGCGAAAATATACAAAAGACGTATTAGATACTAAGCAACTAGCAACTGCACAGTGCGTATAATACTGCTGTGTACTAGTTCGTCTGGTTTGACGTATTAAATTTCTACATTAATAGCTTTTGAAAAGCATTGTAAACTGTTGTATTACATTTAAAAAATGTTTAGTTTAAAAACAATATATTTTTTAAATTGATTAAAAACTACTAAATTACAAATGTTTTAAAATGTAATAAAAATAGCTAAAAATATAATTTTTATTTTATTTTATCTAGAAAATACTATTATGAATATTAGTGAGGATTTCAAATCATGATTTGTTAATATTTTAATCTCATATTGAATGTTAAATATTTTGTTTTTTTAAAATCTGTGAGCTTTCTGATGATCTGAAAAATGTATAGTGGATGATGTTGAGAAATATTGATAATAACAGTGATCTTAATTTACAGATGACACGTTTAACGGAAATATATCAAATGATATTGACATTCAAGTGGAACTGGTTAAAACATTAGCTAATCGTTGTCTAGAGAAACCAAAAATCTTTGAAAATGTTGAAGAAATTTGCAATGCTCGTGTACCTATTGTTAAATTTTATCACATACCATCAAAACTCATCTGCGATGTATCCTTTAAAAGTGGTCTGAGTGTGTATAACACAAAACTTATCAAGTATGTGACACCACAGTTACGTATTTATCAAAAAGTTGTCACATGATTATACATTTTTTATTTGTCTTTGGCGTAGGTTGTATTTGTCGGAGAGCTCTGTTGTGAAGTGGCTGGTCTGCGTCATTGTAAAGCATTGGGCTCTCCAAAATGGTTTAAAAGATAGACATTTATTCACCAGCTATGCCTTAATATGGCTGGTATTATTTTACTTGATGACTGAAAATGTTATTCCGTCAGTGATGGGACTCAGAAATAAAGCCTTAAAAACTGATCGCAAAGTTATTGAAGGTACCTGCATAATGTTATATCCTTTTCTATTAAAATTATACCCAAATATTTTCATTATTTTTTTTTTTTTAGGGTGGGACTGTACATTTGGAGAATGGTCAAACAAATTCGTTCACTTTAGAAATGATAAACTGTTATTAGGTTTTTTTAAATTCTATGCCAACAAAAGAAGACTTAAGGACTATGTATTATCTACTTGCTATGGCCAGTGCATGAAAAAGCATACATTTTATGAAAAATTTAGCAAATTGACTGCACTAAGTAAAATACAGAGAACCAAGTTTAAAACCTTGCAATCCAAAGTTGATTCGAATTTTGAAAAATGTTATGGACTTGTTCTACAAGATCCATTCGAGCTATCATTCAACCTAACCAAAAATATACAAAAACAAGTTTTGACTGACTTTTGTGATTTGTGTAGCCAAAGTTCGACCCTTTTAATTAATATGAAGAAGGATAAAAAAAATGTTTTCTAATACTTTTTTTTAGTACTTAATATTGTTTATAATTGTGTACATCTCTTATGCTCCTTAACAAATGTTTTAGACTTAAGTAACATACACATTATATAACGTGTTAATTTAAACTTCATAACAGCTATCAAGTGAAAACTGTATAAATATTTTGAAATAGAAATAATAAACATTAATGAGATGCTTTAAAATATTATGACATTTTTAAGTTATTTTAACAGAAATTTACAAGTTAGTTTTAATGTGTTGTATATAAATGTAGTATTTAAACAACAATATCGAAATTTCTGATTTTTTAGATGAATCCCATTTTATAGCTATAACAATAAATTGCAATTTTGATTATAAACACAACTATACATACTCGTACATGACAGTCTTTACGTAATTGTACGTTCAAAACAAAAACCTTTGTAACTTTAATTGTATTAATAAAGTTTATTCTGGTGTAAATACAAGTTCTAAAATTTGAATTGAAAAATTTTTCTATTTTAGAGAAAAGTTTTATAATATAATGCAATTTGTACTGGCAAATTTATATAATTTAAGTTATTAAAGAACAACCATTTAAAAAAAAAAAAAAATCACAAAATCTAGTAAAGTAATAATAAAGAATAACAAAATTATTTAAAGCTAATAGTAGTCGAGTAGAAGTTAACGCTTATAAATATTAAAAAAAATTTTAATAACAGTAATATAATGTATAATAAATGTTGTTATTCGTTTATAATTTATTTGATGTCATTAAAGTAATTATATCACATTTACATAAACTATCAAACTTTAAAATCTAACAATATGAAAATTATTTTATCTTTTTAACTTCTAATCATTACTACTCTTATTATTATTTTTATGTGTAAAAACTTATTACAACTTATTATTACAATCGCTTTAAAAACTGCTTAAAAAAATTCATGAAATCCAATTTCTTACTAATATACTTGTAGCTCATTGTAAAACAAACTTTAAAGTTTTTAAATTATTAAGTGAGATATTAAAATACAGACGCATTTAAGAAGAAAGAAATAAAATCTGTTTTGTCCAAAGTTAACTAATCTAACAATCATATAATTTTTTAATCACCAATAAGTTTCAGAACATTTTGTTGACTGTCTTTGATTATCACTCGAATTTCACTCATCTAAGCCTGAGCGGCTGAGCTGGTTCTCTATCACAGCCTATAGCGATAAACCAGATCTTATACCACATTTGGTTGCAAACCACAACTGTTAGGTTGTACACTAACATAAGTTTTTCATTTACTTCCAAATATGTTATAATGTTATAGCTATAATTATGATAATTGTTCATTATTTAAGTAACAATAAATTATTTTTAACTATAATTCTATAGTCTTCTCACATTATCACAGTTTTCAATTTTTACAACTTGATATAAGTTAACGAAACTTTTATAAAACAGCTAAATAAAAAACTTATTTCACTTCTCGGAAAATCTGACAAATAAAATAAAATTAGTTAACTTCATCTAATTATACTCCATCCTCTAACTTAAGGAAGTAACTGTCATTAACTCTGAATGTCGATTTACAAAATTCAATAATATATCTTTTACAACACTGACACAAGATGTATACAACATTTTGAGTACAACAATGATCTAGTACATAGATAATGTCAATTAAAAATTAAATAAATTATGACTAATATAATTATCAAAAGTAAAAATATATTTATTTAAAATGCTGTTTTGTCTGTAAACATATATAACAGCTCAATACAAAAAAAAAAAAGAAGAAAATTAAACAATATAATCAGCCTTGTTAGAATGTAGAACTCAAAATAGTTAGTAGCATCATAGTTAGCAGTAAATAGACTATTACATAAATAAAATAAAAATAAGTTCTCACAAAAAATATTAATGATTATTATTAAAGTATAGTATGTGAGAGTATAATATTTGGAAGTTGCCTTTAGGTTAAGCTGTTAAAACAAAAATATCTATATATTCGTATTTCTGCATGTGCATGTGAATTGGAACAGAGTACAATAATTATGTTAGGATACATTGTTAGTTTTGATTACCATAGAGAGTTATGATGAAATTTAAGATCACGTTTTACGGAATTTCCATCGCTGTCAGTTTTGAATACATTAGCATTTTCAGGATGTGGATTCACTTCTTTGAACTGATTATCCACACTAAATTAATTTAAAACATTTAAAATTAAAATTAAAATCTAGATTATTAACATTTTAAATACTAACAAATCAGTGTCATGATTGTACTTGAACTTCACAAATGCAGCATCACCTTCACCTTGTACTATCTATAAATAATAACAATCATTTTTAATTTTTATAAATAATATATGTGAGTTGTTGATTCAACACTTACCTCGCCCATCGTATCGTGATGCTTATGAGCACCATGTCGTCCAAACATTGGCTGTTGCTTATAAGATACAGCTCTAAAAACAAAAAAATAATAATTTAAAATAATAACTTTTTTTTAATTCATTATTAGAATAAAAATTTACCTATATCCACTATCGTCATGATTCTTTTCATCGGCTATAAATTAATCAAATCATTAATAATATAGAAAAACTTAAGTTAAAGTATATTTTGGATTTTAATGTTTATATACGTATTAGAGTAGATACATGTAAGATGCAACTTCTCGATGAGGTTAAGAAATGAATACTCTATTCAGCAAGTATATGCCACAGTTTAACAAAAATTGGTTCTAACAATTTAAAATACACATGAAAAAGTTTTGTTCTGTAAAAAAGGAATATTTTCATATGTAATTTAGTATTTAGGTAAATAAGTAGTAAGTATTAACTTAAAAGCTTTTAAAAATATTTAAATCCAGACTATACATTAAATTATTATGAAATACTTACATGTGTCATCAAAGAATTCCTCATATATTACAAAATTATTTCCTTGGTTTACCAATTTAGATAATTGGAAATGCTTCCACATAAACTGCAATAATTTCTTAGTTGGCTTGTCAATAGCTAAATGTTTGGCTGCTAAATTTATATCCTAAAAATTTGATATCAGTTTTTGTTAAAACAACTATTTAATTATGTCAAAATTATATTATTTTAACTTTAATATATTCAGAAATTCAGAATTATTTAGTAGAGTTAAAAGTTTATTACCTGTAACATGCATAGTAATAAACGTTTTCCATAACCTTTACGCTGTTTTGACTCATGTATGTAGAAATCTAACAAACAGTAGACCATCGCTTCTGACCGCGAACCCGCTTTGTTATAAAGGTACAATTTTTTCCATCCCATCTTTAAAATCCCAACAACACTGAAATGTCTGAAACACACAACAAATACAAATAATGAACAAGCCTGAATAAAATATAAATATTTTAAAGAGCTTGGTTTTTTAAAAACAGATTAATGCTTAATGGAGTTCATTTAATCAAAAATTTGAAATTAAGTTGGTATAAATAGAAACCAATAAATACAATATATGTGTAAATCCTACTCTGGTTTATTGTGTTCAGTCATCATGTAGAGGATGTGATCAGAATTGGCCAGCTTGTTGGCGCTGGTGACAGGCGACTTCAACTCTTGAGCGACAGCTGAAGCTTTGCCCATCTCATCGATGATCAGTTTAATTTTGTCTTTCAACCTATACACAAAAATCAATAATAAGTATAAGTACTTATTTAATAATACAATAGCAATAGCAATAACTATACCCCTTAGATAAAAAAAATTTTAAAAAATTCACCTAGAACAATTTCTTATTCACTATACTTCTACCTACACACAAACACTAACTTCACTTAGTACTTACCCAAGCTAACATAAAATTAAATTTCGAATACACTGTAATCTCTTTCGCCCTCACGCCCTTGTAGTTACCTATTGTATAAAGTAACGTAAAAACTTAATAAATAATAATAATAATAAGTTGGCATTTACTCGTCATTTTGTTCGTGTCCCAAAGGTGTCAGCGTGTTGTCAATCTTCAGCACCTCTTCAGTAGCCACATCTTTTATATTAAATTCGAACTCCATGATGCGAACGTATCGGGTAAAACTACGAATATTTTTAATACTCTGCGAAGAGACGGCGATACCAGACTGATAGTAAGATCGTTGTAAATTGTTCACACGAAGAACAAAAACTGATAAAAAATTGTTATTCCTTTAGCCCCCGTGTAACTGTGATGGTCGTCGCGTAGGCGTGAAATGTGAATTAAATTAGGGCATAGAAGGCGCCGTCAACCTTGGAAAGGAACTAGGAAGTACAGCTGCACACCCGCAGATCCCAGTCAGCAGTTGGGCAGGCTGTCGAACCGGCTGATAATAAATAAAATCGGCCGTGGACAATTCAGAGTTCGTGGTTTTAGGTAGGTAACAGTGCTTGTGTAAAGGCAGGAGTAGGAAAAGAACGTACAAAAAATATAATGGTCAATTGATAAGACGACTTTTGCCGCCGAAAATTTTGTACACGTACAATGATAACACGCTATTGCACAACCGGGTGTCAACGCGCCATTATACTAAGTATAACAACTTTCGAGTACAAGAAGTAAATAGTATTTACTGAATACTTAGCAGTTAATTGTAATCCGTATTTAGCTCGGACGTTAAACGATAATATTCCGCATCGTGTGATCATTATTCATTGAACAGTGTGGTTCAACTGCTCATGAACTCTTCTAAAGGTGGTACGCTGCCAGATTTTGGAACACATGTGACATGGGCTTCAGGATTGGATTGGTGGGTCGCAAATAAACGTACAATGACAAAAGAAAATTGTGTATCACACAAGCGAAAGCAGCTATCCTGCTATCCACGCGACTGTGGATAAGTACATTCTAAAACTCTACACAACTTATTGGAAAAGTAATTATCAATCGGCACCTCAAACACACAATTTATCCCAGTTCAACCATATGTATTTACGAGTTACGACAAATCGATTATCATGTCACTCGAGGTATTATAGGTAATTGCAAACGATTATGCACTACCTATATACACTATAATGTGCAGACCACGGTTTTCTTAACTTACAGAGTCGGTGATTGGGAGGTGCTTGGAGGGCTTAACCCCCTTCCTCAAAAAAAAAATTGAAAGCCTCCCAAAATTATTGAACATTTTTCAAAGTTTTAAATTTATACCTATATTGTAACAATGCAAAGAAAGATTTAAGCCCCCCCCCTAAAATCCAATCATATATCCACCTATGCTACCGACGATTACTACAAGATTAGATACCTACTCGACACTCGTGTAAATACGATAAACTTAAAAAAAATAACAGTATGTTATAAAACTAGCATTATTGTGTTGTGATAATAATACAAAATGTTGAGTTAACATTAAGAATATGGATATGAAACCAATAATTTATCCAAGTAACCATCGTGTATTATTTTCAACGCCGCGTACTAAGCTCAGCTCAAAGCTCCCTAACTTCTCGGTTTTGAAATTATTAACAGTTTCAAAATCTAAATTGTTGAACATTTAAAAAAAAGGTTCCTACCTTATAAGTGTACTTGTTAACTTAACAAGTTAAAGTTACCTATTGTTAACTGTTATTATTGTCATTACTCATTTCAAAATGATTGCACATTTGCACTTTATAGAATCAGCAACCGTCTTCACCTCGTACAATCTATGAATAAATAATAACACTATAAAGGCATACATTTTTTTTTATCATATCCGTGTTCAAATCGTTGAATTAACCAAATTCGCCGCATATCATACTGCGATGCACTGATTCATAGTGACGTTCTTTGTCCGCACGTACAGAATCCGTAAAATGATCAATTCTAAAGGTTTGTCACAAATATACTCATATAAAAAAAATATATCATGTAAGCGCACGTTATAAATAACTTTCTTACAAACTATTAAATGAATGTTGAATATTTAAAATTTTTCAGACGCATATATTTGTTAAAAATTAAACCATTTAGTTAGTTGTAATTTAATTATCATACCTATGTGTACAAGTAACAATAACACATACCCAGTACCGAATTTAGAATAGGTGCCGCCCTAGAACCTTTTAAATATGCCGCCCTAACTCCAAGAAAAATTTATTTCTATTTATTTCTTAAATTCATGAATTTACTTCTATGTTTTTTAAATATTATATAATACCTATTAATTTACGCAGTTTCATAATTGCATAAAATATTTATATGATTTTTCTTTCATTTCTTACAAAATTTCCAAAAGGCCAAGCCGTTTCATGCAATAAATTTATTGACAGCCATCTTGAGTTAAAGATGGCAAAATATTAATGCATCAATAATTTTTTATCTAAAAAATAATATGATTTGATGTGAGTACCTGTAGGAATAGCGTCTAGTACGTGCTTGAAAGATTTGTCGAACTATCAACAATTATTGTAGATATAATGCTGTCCAAATGACCCTGAAATGATTTTAGCAGCAAGAAGTCCAAGGCATAATTGTAGTTTTTCGTCCTCTAGAAATGGTAAAAATTAAGATGTTATAAAAAAATTATGTCACTGTCAGCAATGTCCTACCCATTGTTAGTTGTTTGACTAACGTGTAAATTCTCAACAGCCTAAGACTGATTCGGTCAAGACTTTCCAAGTTATTGTTCTTAGGATCTGTTGACGACTCTTTTAGGTTTAGGAATAGACTACCTATTTAATATTACCTATATTATAATTGTTAAAATTAAACTATTATTATTATTTAAGTTATTATTTTTACTCAATTCCTTGATTTATGTTTATATGGTAAGTACTTAATAATGTAGGAATATTAATTACATTTTATTTCTGTTATTTCATACTTTATAATTCGATACACTTTTTTTAAATTCTTATATTTGAGTTATACAATGTGTACACATTGTTAGCATAAAAATGATGCTTACTTAAATGTATCAATTTGCACTGATGAAACAATAGTACTGAAATACTAAAAATACTATTAAATTAGGCCAACGCTCAGAACGATTTTAGACTTCAATTATGTTATATTTTAATAATGAAAAATAAAACTAAAAAAATCTAAAAATATATTGATATGTTTCTGAACGATAAATCGTCAAATCGTTATTCAGTTTTTATACTTATAAAGGTTGAAAACAATTTTGCCATCCCTAGTCCTAGTAGTGCACTAGCGTGGGTTTGTGACATAAGTTATATTAAGTGGTAAAAAATAAGATGAGTTATGCTAGAAGAATAATAATTAATAAATAATAAAAATAACTCGAATTTTATTGTTATAATAAATTAATTGTTATCTGTATTCTGTTGTATTATTAGAATTATTTAAAACGAAAATTTATATTTATAAATAAATATATTACAATATATTTTGCTATAAATTATGACATGCCTAAAATATGCCATCGCCTAGTAATAACTAATTATTTTTAAATTGTTCATGCATTATAAAATAAAAGTACTAAATGAGTCGCTAAATATTCAAATATCGTATAATGTTTATCATTTTTACTAAGGATCCATGAACTATTGCCTTAAAATAACAACCGCTTTATTAGAAGCATAGTTATATTATATAGACCAGAGGTCTCCAAACTACGGCCCGCGGGCCGGATGCGGCCCCCGAATAAGTTTTCACCGACCCGCCAACGGAAAATATTCTAAAAATATATATACCTAGTTTTCATAGTCGTTATCGCGCGCACTAGCAATTATCAGCTGTATTAGCTGTAATTTATAAATTATATACGAAAATTAAATGTATTCATACATTTTGGCCCGCTAAGAGCTTTTTTTATTTTATGTGGCCCTCGGATAAAAAAAGTTTGGAGACCTCTGATATAGACAATTAGAACAATATTCTACGAAACGAAACATTTTCAATCATATTAAACAGTAATAGGTAGCAGTGTATGGACTACGGGCATTGATCACAATATTTTCAAATGTTTAATACATTAACATTCAGTATTACAGTAAAGTGAAGCATTTTCAATTATTTTATTATATCAATAATCAATATAGTAAACAAAATAAGACAAAGGGATAAAGATCTATGCACATATTGCACATATCGACCATATCATTCTCCTCCACCATAAATACGCCACTGGTCAACTACCTGGTATAATAAATACCTAGTTACAAATTACAATCAACTCCAATCACAAAACTCTAACATATCTTCTTCATCTTTAATGAAGTGTCGATAATATACTAACAATATAACTTATACAAATAATAAAACAAACTTCTGTAAATTTTAACAGTCAAGTCTATAATACCTAAGTACTTGTTTTACTATCTATAAACTGAATAGAGTTTAATTATGCAAAAAATGTATCTATATCATATATATAAATGTATAATATAATTATCAAAAGTATAAAATATAAATAAACTATTTAGCTTTTATACTACAAGTGTAATAGGTATTGTAGTATTGTATTTATTATTAAAATGAGTTTTAAACATGTTTCTTTTTATTTGATTTAAAAGTACAAATTGATAAGTAGAAATTACCTAAAATATAATAAAAAGAATTAAAATTCAATACAGTTAACTATAACTTAACCATATTATAAAAATTATAGTTATGAAAGTACTAGTTATTCAGTAAAAATAATGATACATTACTTTCAAAAATAATTAGTTACTTAAAATTAACTTTTAAGGCTTGAGGTTTTGTATTGTTTTTAAAACATATGACATGAATTAAGTGAGAGTCAAATAATTATTAAACATAGATTTTTGCTAATTTCTAAGTCTATTTATTACCATAAAGTGCTATGGTGGAATTTTAGATCTCGCTTCACAGAATTTCCATACTTATCAGTCTGAATTACACCAACAACTTCAGGATGTGGGATCAATTCTTTGAATCGACTATCAACACTAGATATAAGTTTTAAAAAAATACAATTAATACAAATCTAAACAACTGAAAATTATAATTGGTATACTTACAAATCATTGTCAATATTGTACTTAAATTTCATAGTATCAGTACAGTTTTGAACAATCTACAAACAGCAACAATTATTTTATTTTATTTTATTATTATTAAAAAAAAATACAATCTGTATATAATAATAAACACTAAAAATGTGTAGTACTTTAATGTAGTAATTTAATAATTATGCACAGATAATATCTAATTGTACAAACATTTATTTTAAATATTTAATGGTTAACTAAAATGTAGGTAATGGAATAATTATTATGAGTCATTAAATCATGTTTAAAAAATTATTTTTTTAAATTTAATAGTGTGAGCTTCACCATTTTACGTGTAAATTAATTAAATGTATATTCCAATAATTTTTGAGATATTATAAAATTCTAATTAAAATCTCATAAAAAAAATAAAATAATAAATAAATATTTATTTACTCATTGTTGATGCATTCTTATATCCTACATAATTTTACAACATATTTATTAAATAACTCACTTCACCCATAGTATCTTGACGTTTATGAGCTTCGTGTCGTCCAAATCTTGGTTTATACTCCGATATGCTAAAAAAATTTAAAAAGTTAACTTTTAAAAAAAAACACATAATTTTTGATTTCACGCTTATAAAATAAATGTTTTCAACAAATCCATTACTTATATGTCTTAATCTAGTGAATGTCATAAAAAAACATGGTGATATGTTTCAAACGGAGAATAATAGAAATTTAGCGATACCTAGGTACCTAATTGTATAAAATCGCGAACTTAATCTATATAATATATACGTAAATACATAATTGAAAATGACAGGAATTCAAATTAAAGTCGAACAACTAATCAACGGAAAATGTCATAATGGCCGCTGTAAAACGAAACAACAATAAAAACATTAAAAACGTTAACAGTAAAAGAGCGATTGTTAGTAAGTGATGCTACACATAGAAAAAAAATTTGTAACGGTTGAAAAAAATTAAGAGAATAATTTTTTTGAAAATCATATTATTTCATGGCCAAGCGTAACTCGATGGATTCTTATACCCAAAATCATAATTATTGATTTATTGTCAAGTAGAGTATACTTGTAAATTGTATTATCTACTTGAAATTTCAATTAAAAATATTATAATTAAGAAGTAATAACGCATTAATGTGTTAATATAAAAGTCAATGAATAATTAACTCGGCGACTTCCACGCGTTCCACGGCAGTTGGCGACGCGTCATGGTCCTCTGTCTTCTGTACTTCATTATAGTGGTTATTGTCGTTATTGAAGTCCATTATTAATAATTATACGATATAATTATCAATATAATCCTCCAAGTACCGTTCAAGTATATAACTATTTAGGTCTGTAATCGAAAAATTCAATAGATTTAAAAAGTTATATCTAATAATCATAAATATAATGTTTATTACTTATATAAATTAAATGGAATATATGATGTAGGTCTGCAACTAGTGCGCGTTCAAGTTTCAGCGTTAGTCGGTTATAAATTATAATAAGTGGTTCCGAGGGGTGGTAGTAGTAGATGTCGTTAACGTAACCTTGAATAAATTCTTACGTTTTTCCCCTATAGCCTATACACATAGCGTTCCTGCGGGAGATGCATAAATGTCAACATGTACAGTACACTACAGTATATTATTATGCCAGCAATCTGACTGTAATAAAAACGGTAAAAAAAATAAACACGATGAAAGCCAAATAATTATTGGATTTTCTTGAGAAAATTTTCATTACCTAGAATCCAAAAATGGTTTGAGCTTTTATTTCATTAAATATAGGTAATTTATGAAAATTATTTCTAGTTACTTACTTTCAATTGTTTTCAATAGGTATTAGGAACAATTGCAATGTATTAGCTAATAGTTAGTACCTATTGAGTATACTTACCTACCTCTTTAATAGTTATATAACTATAAAGTTATTTATGTATCTTGACTGACAACATTTTTATTGTAATAATACTTAAACTTAATGTTCTAGTTGTCATTAAAAAAAAAAAAAAACATCTACTTTATCTTTATAATTTTGAATTTAACTATAATATAATCTATATAAATATACAAATTATACTAAAAACTGCTTAGAATACACACCTATTTCTGATAGTTCTTCAAATGGTTTAATGTACCATAATTAAAATTTGCATCTTGCATTAAATAATATTATTTGTATTTAGCTGCTTAATCATAATTTTGAAGGATAAGTACCAAATATCAATGATACACAATTCAAGTTGATCCATTTTAAGTATTGCTAATTTAATATAAATATACATATTATATTATGGTTTGGTATTTCAAGTACTTTTAAGTTATGACATGTCGTGAAAATAATATTTGTCTTAAAATTTTTGTATAGTGTAGAATGTAGAAATAAATAGAAATTCAAAAAAACTATTTTTGCTTATTTTCAGGAAAACAATTGGTTATTATCACATCTTGAAAACTACACTATAAACAATTTTTAACGCTCATTCTTCTGAAAAATGTAAAAGGCAACTATTAATTCTATTTAACATTGTTCTAATTCACTAAAAATAGTTCAGTTTTAACCAATTATAATTTATAAATAAATATAAGTGATTCAATTGCTTTAATTTCAATAAAATTTATAATTTATTTGGTTTTTTACAAGTACATAATGCACAATGTACCCACTAAATAGCATTATTCAACTCTAAAATCCTCACTCTTATTTTTAACTATCATATATTTTTTATTGGTTAACATCATATTCTATTTAGATACTTTTTATATAAAAGTATAATAGAGATATTTTGTCACTTAAGATTTTAAAAAATATATTAAAAATACAGTAAGTCTAAAAACCGTTTATACCAAGAACAATATTATTAAATGGTTACTTAAAACTACAAAAATGAAGTCAATAATGTTCAACCATGTCAATTGCAGGTAGATGGCTGACGTCCATGACATTATGCATAAAAAAAGCAATAATCATAAATTTCAGTAATTTAAAATCTGGACTTCAAGAACTGTAACCTAATATTATAAATTAATTGTTGTTGTTTAGTTACTTAAAGCAATGATGACGTGAATAGGTAACTGCAAAATACATTAAAAAATAATTTAAGATAATGTAGGTATGATAAGTAAGATACAGAACTATGCAAGTATGTTTATACATACTATACAAATTTAGTATATAAAAATAAAATTAAAATTTTTTCAATTTTATTAAGGGGTGGGGCAATGGAGATATTTGAAAACTTAAAAAGGATGTTAAGTAAAAAAAAGGTTAGGAAACACTGATATAAAGTACATATGGGTAAAAAGATTTCTATAGAAATCATCTCTATCGCATTATAATTTATATTAACATCATACAAACCAATTAAAAGAGTTAAGTTTTATTCTTAAATTTACATCATACAAGTATAATTATTTATATAAATACTAAATAGTTATAGTAACTACTCATTACAATAAACATTTTAGGGTTTAGTGAAGTAATTATATAAAAATTCAAGTCTATATCATTAGAATTATTAAAATTAATATTTGAACTTTGTGCTATAAGTTACTAAGGTAAAAAGACACAATACAAGTTATAATAAGAATAAAAATTGTTAAAAATGAATTAAAATGTAAAACTTTTTAAGTTAAATAACTGCATTTTGTAGAAAATTAAAAATTAAAATAATAAATAATTACTCTACAAATTATTTGTAATTTAAATTGTTTTAAGTATAAAAAAAGTTCATAATTGTAAAATTCGAAATATTCATTTGGATATGAAATTTATGCATAAGGACACAACACATAGTGCAATTATTTGGAAATGTTGTCAATTTAAGTTACCACAAAGAATTGTGATGGAATTTAAGATCTCGTTTTACTGAGTATCCATCCTTGTCAGTTTTAAATGCACCTTTACTTTCAGGATGTGGATTCACTTCCTTGAATTGATTATCAACACTAAATTAATCAAAAGAAATTTCATTTAAAAAATTTTATGAATTCAAAATAATAATTAATTTGAATACTAACACATCACTGTCATGGTTGTATTTAAACTTAACAAATGCAGCGTCACCTTCGCCCTGTAAAATCTAAAATTATAAACAATAACAATTTATAAGTATTATAAATAACTTTAATTAGTATAACTAAAATTAAAACTTACTTCGCCCATTGAATCATGATGTTTATGAGCTCCATGCCGTCCAAACATTGATTGACTCTTATATGCTTCAGCACTAAGAAAATAAAAAATTGGTTATTTTAAAATAAAATTTACTAAAATTTAGTTTTTTAAATAATATTTATACCGATTTCCAGTATGGTCATGGTTATTTTCTTCTTTGGCTGTAAATTAAAATATTAATTAACAGTAAAAAAAAATTATAGCTCTAAAATATTAAAATTTCTTACGTGTGTTTTGAAAAAACTCTTCAAAGATAACAAAATTATTTCCCTGGTTTACCAATTTAGATAATTGAAAATGCTTCCACATAAACTGCAATAATTTTTTTGTTGGCTTATCAATAGCTAAATGTTTGGCCTCTAAACCAACATCCTAAACATTTTGAATTGTTATTTTTAAAGGTCAATAAACATTTTTAGAATAATATGAAAATAATAATTATAAAAAAATTAAGTTATACCTGTAGCATACATTCCATTAAGCGAATTCCATAACCTTTACGCTGCCTGCGTTCATGTATGTAAAAATCCAACAAACAATAGACCTTGGCTTCTGACCGAGAAGCTTGTTTGTCATAAAGAAACAATTTCTTCCATCCCATCTTCAAAAATCCAACAACAGCAAAATGCCTAGTTAAGAAAATACAAATACAGTAATCATAGCTAGAAACCATAAATAAATTAATCGAAAACAAAATAATATATTATATATATATCCTACTCTGGCTTATTGTGTTCAGTCATCATATAAATTACATGATCAGAATTGATAAGTCTATTGGCGCTGGTGATTGGCAACTTTAACTCTTGTGATACAGCTGATGCTTTACCCATTTCGTCAATGATCAATTTCATTATGTTTTTTAATCTATAAAAATAAAAACATATAAATAAATATAAAATAACAATAATAGTAATATCTGAACATCTACTGTGATTTGGTTATATTTTTATGATTCTAGTTGGGATAATAATATATTAAACCTCTACTCAAGGTGAAAAAATAACAATTTTTTTTTCTCAAAAAATTGTAGAACCTACTATCTATCCTAAATAAAAATATTAACAGCTTTAGGATTCAAAACAATAACTATTGATTATACAATTTTTTTTTTTTTATCTATTATAGATACCTGAACTTCGGGAAAGTAAAAATACTTTGATTTTCAATTTTAAGGCCTAAGAAATGGTTTCTGTTTACGAATTTGGATCTAGTTGGCACTTTTAAGGGTTATAACTCACTGTAGAAACTTGAAATTTTCACGAAATGTTAATATTATAATTTTCTATAGATGGTATAATTTTCAAAATATTTTGACTTTTTGTGGTACTAAAAAGTAAAAACAATTGAAATTTTCGATTAAGTGTTTTTAAATAAATTTTGATAAAGAAATAATGAGTTAGAGTTAGGTTCTCTGTAAGTTATTTATAGAAATAAAAAATAAAGTTGAACGTAAATCCACAAATTCTAACAAATTTTGTCAAAATCGCGAAAATTAAAAAATTATTTTGAAGTTAAAAATTTATAAAACTTAAAATAATTATACCTAAGATTTGAAAACTTAAAACAAGTTTCTTTTTAAGATTTTTAACCTTCAGTAAAAGAAACTTTTTTTACCAAAGTCAAATTCATATTTTACAAGCGTTTGGAACAACATTTTAATGATATTGCATTTCGCCCGTAAAATAATTATTCTCCTCAAAAGATTTATATTATTTTGTCGTTGTTCAAAAACAATTAATAATTAACATTTGAAATTTATGCCAAATGTTTATATTACCATTTTATTATACGTCATAGTATAATTTTCAAAATATTTTGATTTTTTTTTTTTTTAGTTATTTATAAACAATTGAAATTTTCGATTTTTGTTTGATTTATTTCTTAATAACATATCAACAAAAAAAATTTTCTTTTGATTAAAAAAATTTAAAATGTAATACAAAATTCTACATAATTTATTGTTCTTTTATTTTTATTATACATATTATTAAAAAATAAAAATACGAACACGATTTTTTTTACATGCATTTAAAATAAATCAAGACGAAATTAGAAAAAAACTTGCAAACCATTTTGAAGTTTATAATTTATAAAAAATATCTTTTTATACCTTTTAAATATCTTTTCTTAAGTCATAAGAAATTATATTTGATGAAAAATTTAAAATATATATACACAATTATTTTAATAGATATTTTAAGATTAAATATTAATGAAATATTTAAATATTTAAAAATGAATGTGTTAATTATTTTGTTAAAATTCAAAAACATTATTCGCGTAAACTTTAACGCATATTACGAATTTTACTAATTAAATCAACCTACCATATTATTAATTGAAAAATTAATTATTTTAATATAAATATTAAAAAACGTATCTTTAAATTTACCTAATGATATAGTCATAACTCATAAAGACTAACAAAATCATTTTTCGTATACAATCATGTATCACTTAATTCAAATTACACTAAATCATTTCCTCGACACCTTCTGAACAACAAAATGATACCTACCACCGGCCTATCTTTTTTGATATGTTTTTAGTTTTTATGTAGATACTCACTCATCGTTTTTTTCATGTCCTTCGACCGTTAGTTTGTTGTTAATCTTCAGAACTTCATTGGTGACCACGGTTCCGATATTGAAATTAAACTCCATCTTTGTCTTGTTAGCTGTGAGACTAACGGATAAATTAAACCTTAAGGCGTGAATACAATTAATAATATAATGGAATAATCGTTTGAAATTTAAAGAAGGGCGCCAAATATTTTTTTCTGCGATAGTCGGTTTTGATTATTCGATATTCAGAAATGCTGATTGTTTCAAGACAGCGCAATTCACAATGAGCTGAATGATCACCGATCAACGTACGTTTAACTTAATGGCGGACATTGACGGTTAATCGTTATGGAGCTCGGGCAGGCTGTTGACGAGACCGACAAGAAAATATCAGGTAACCTCCACTCCAAATTGAGTACTCCAAACTATCAAGTACCAACTACCAACTACTAACGTCAAACACACCTCCGAATTGTTTAAACATTTTTATTTTTTGTGAAGAAAAAATGTGTTGTGTTGGGTAAAATCCCGAATCATTTTTTCCGTAGAAATGGGGTCTCGTTTTCCGCGTACCCATATCTTGAGCAGCGCAGCTCTGCAAGTACAGTGACACGAAGTACAGATGTGTAATAAATATTAATAAAATTAAACTGTCTTATATGGTGCAAAATAATCAAAATAACATCATTAATATAAGATTGTTATTATAATCTTTGTACCTTGAAAATTGCCTTTTCCCGACAAGACTATGAATTATATTTTATAATCTCGTAAATGCGTCGCACTATTGCATTATTGACGTTCAAGTCCTTTAACCGTACGGCGTACAAATGTACAATGGTCATTGTAAAATGGAAATTACATAACTAGTCAATTGTTTTGAGAAGAAAAAAATAAAATACATTTAATCCTAACTAGTACAAAAATTTGATGTGTAAATTACAAAGAACTGCAGAAAGTAGTTATCACCCTGGTAGTCCTCACTGGTATGCCAGCCGGTCGGAACTTACTCGGTTAGTGGGGTAGATTTGAAATGCGCTCAAGGTCAGCGTACGTTGTTGTCGTCCTATATGCTCAGTTATCGTCGTAAACAACTAAATAAGTGATGATAGCAAAGTACAAACCGAGAATTACAGAATTCGTCAGGAAATTGAAAAACTTCAAAATACTCATCAGTCATTTATATGCCCGTGGCTTTCTAAAACATCTACGACAATACGATAGAAAATCGAAGTAATAATACGTCTTACTGAGATTAAGATTTAAAAATTTTGTCAAAAAGACAATGGGAAGCATTGTAACATAAACTTCAGCCAGTAAACTGACGAGTGAGTTAACGAGTTGACCATTATACTACGAGATCAGTACGAGTATATTTCCTTATTTACCATAATATGATTATTATGAATCAATTGTCTGGCGGCCATTTTCTTGTCAAAGCCCTTTTCAAATTATAAATAATTATTAATTCATTATTATTTTTCTTTTTTCTCACATATGCTCATTGTAAATATTTTTACTGATTGTATATATTCATATAAATGAAAAAATAACAATAAAATTAATAATTATATCTAAAATCTATTAAGTAGGCTTGAAAAACGTAAAATAATGAGTATGATAATATTTAATTAAACCTAATAGATTTCAAATATTCTTTGATTAAAATTACTTTATATTGAAATTCCACAGTTTTATACTATTAAAATATAAATTTTTTTTTCTTTTGGTATTCTTACTAGTAGACAACAGAATATTGTTACAGATAAATTCCATTAACAAATTATGTTTTTTTATCATTATACCCATTATTAATCCACATAAAGTAATATTTTTTTATCAGTTCAATTATTAATTAATATGTTTTTTTTTTTTTTAATGATATCTTTTGACATTCAAGGATTTATTGTTTGAACAGAATGTATTGCTTCTTTTTTTTTTTTAATAAGCTACATTTTATACAAATTGTAACAAATATCTTTATATATTTTTTTTTGTTATTTAAAATGTATACAGGTTATTGTCAAACAAAAATGAGAGAAAGCATGGACAACATGATGCTCATAAACATCATGACACAATGGGTAAAGTAGTTTAATAATTTATAGATTTTAAATATTTATGAAAATAAAATATATTTTTCTATTAGATTGTACAAGCTTAAAGCAAGAGTTTCTTAATAATGTGAAGAACAATTGTATTGACTTGTTAGTAATTATTACATTTCAATAAATTGGTTTAGATTATTTATAATTATTGTTCTTTTTTTTATGTTAAGGATTGATGATTACATGAAAGAAGTAAATCCATATTCTGAAAGTTTGGGCATGTATCAAATAGACAAGCATGGAAACTGTGTGGAACAAGATCTTAAATATAATCACAGCTTCACTAAATATCTAACAATATACTCATAATATTACATTATTCATAATTCACTTTTCTTATTTCTTTAGCAAATTTAATACTATTTTTTTTCTAAAAGATATTTACAGTCTGTAGAAAATATTTAAATAACCGTTTAAATATTTTAACAAAATTAATTTTATTCATATGCCATAATAACCATGCATATTTATCATATTAAATTCTTGCTTTTAACTATAAAAAGTTGTTTATTATTTAATATTAATCTTACTTTTAAAGTTTAAAATAATCTAACTATAAATTTAATTTAAAAACCAAAAATAGAAGTCTTAAGACTTTTAAAATGTTTGTTGCAGTTTTCATTTATGTATCTGAAGTAAATCTGCAGTAAAAATAATTATTTTTTTGTGGAAATCGACAATAACATTCCCCTCTAAAATAGATATTTGTATTTTGCATGAGCTTTTCTCAAACTTGTATGAAATTATGTCAAGGCAACAGTTATAACTTGTTAAGCAATATCAGATTAAATTAGTGTTTGTAAAAAAAAAAGTAACGAATAACAATTATGTCTTATTTATATTATTTTAAGATCAAATACTAATTTTGAACCAAATTTAAACCTATTTACTCTATAGTACATAGGTACCTACAAACTGTGATCTATTTAATAAATAAACCATAAATTTATTCTAAATGAAATTAATTTGCTACTAATTAATTTAGTATAATAAAATATTTAAAACATACGATTATTAATTAATAATTATTATAATGATATCATGTCGATGTCATACAAATAATTTTATTAAATTCCAAATCCACAACAGTAAATAAAATTACAAAAAAATAATTTAACAATCCGTGTGATGAGTAAATAAGAAAGTTAAAAATAAAAGTACATAAATGAAAATGTAGTTAGTTATAAACTAAGGCATAATACAATTGGTACTGTGAAGTACAAGTACCCTTTATCATTAAAGTAGTTAACACAGATAGTGACTATATGCTGGAGAATGGTATGAGCTGCTATATATTAGTACTTAGTGACATAGCAAGGAGGGGTGTTGTAAGTCCCCTCTCATTGATTTTTATTTAATTATTCAGTAAATAAGTGATCACAACAAGAAGACTATGGTTAATTTTTTTTTTTTGTTTTCTATGTTCCAGCCTGCTACAATTTTGAGTTGTCTATCCCTGGTATATACCTTAACCTTAATCCCCCACCACCAATTAAAAATGTTGGCTAAATCACTGACAGTATTGAATTTAGTATTAAATAGATTAAGTTATGTTCTTAATAGCTACTTAATAGCTTAAAATTTCAAGTTTAAAAAAACATATAAAAGAGGATGCTGTGCACTTTGTTTTTTTCTCTGAACCACACTCAAAAACAAAATTTGTGTTCAATAGACCCAATCTTGAGTTGTTATCAATAATATAAAAGTAAATTAATCTATTATAAAACTAAATTTTAATACATTAGATTGTGCAAACAGTAAGTGAATTGATCTATTTTAAATGGTTATTTAATACCCACTCACTTGTACTGTACTGATTCTTCATCAAGTTAAGCATGTTAGTCACTAATCAAAAATTCCCAATTGTTTCAAAGTTATTGTGTCATCCATTTATATTTTAAAAATTCAGTTTATTTGCTTGCATAGTTGACGGGAGATGTTAAAAGCACAGTCTGTTAACTAAGGATCCGTATATTTTAGCTAATTGATAAAATGAAATTTTGTGTATACAAATTACAAACTGCACCTAGGGTACTAATAATAGAATACTAATGAAACATCTAGACTAATATCAGATTATTTATGTAAATTACGGTTCATACCCGATATACATAAAACCATAGTAGCAACATTCCACTTGAGCAACCGATTAGCAAAATACAAACCACAAATTCAATTTGGTGGAAAAAGACTTAAATTTGAATACGATACACCTCCGAAGTACCTAGGAATGACACTTGATGAACAGTGAAGTGTTAACTTTTATACAACACATCGAGATTACAGAACACTAACTACTTAGTACTTACTCAATATTACATAGTACATTACTAATGTCTACTGCTAAGCTCAAAACGAAAAATAACATTATCCATAAATTAGCTGACTCAACCTAGAAAGTAGCGATGCCTACACTGAAAACATCGATTTTAGCGCTACTACACTAGTCTCCTCTGCCGCAAAGTATGCCTCTGTCCTCTGCTTCTCCAGAATGCTGTCTACTCATACAGACAAATAGTATACGATACGGTTAAATTTTAAATTCAAATAGTATGTATTAATGCAATGCTTGCATTGTATTCAATACTATTCAGTATTCATTGTAATAAGATCGATGATCAATCTAATCACTCTACGTGTATTATCTCTGGATTCTGGTTCTGTCAGTGTCAAATTGTCGATGACAGAATAGCTTCCGGTTCTTTGCAGCTTTTTAACTCTATATATTCAACGTAAAAAAGCTGCATGCATTGACGGCATGGCTGATTGGGAACTAGAGTTGCTGAATTTTAGCATAGATATCTGCAGCCTTATTAAAAGCTTGGATGTTCCAATACCTGGACAACAGCTCAAAAAATGGTCAAAAATGGGTAATGCTTAACCATCTAAGTACGCTCAAGACGCATGGTCACTCGTGAAATATGTTCTATAAAAATGAGAGATCGTCCTTACTAACTACGCCCACTCATCACAGTCCATTTTCCACATAATAAGTGATTGCTTTCTATGCACCTTTAACGGAACAATAGAAGAAATCCAAAAAACTTCCAAACTACCAACAACACGAATAATAGATAAATTCACTTAGTGTCCAGCTGAAGACACCTTAACTGATAATAACATTGAGAAGTTGGCATTACCATTAATTTTAAACTTAATATTTAATATTGGTTTGTGAATTATACAACTTAAGAATCTGTAAAGATATGGTATATCATACCATATAATTATAATAATTTTAAAAATGTAATAATTGTAGTTTTATAATTAATAAATGTTCCTTTTTTTTGAATTTACAGATATAATTTTACCTTTAACAGAAATATGCATTTTATCCTAAGAGTATTCTGCAGCTTTTAGAAAATTGTTAATTTGTAGAAAAAATGTGCAAATCTTACATAATAAATTAAGTTTATATATCTAGATGGTTAAATTATCATAATTTAAAAAAAAAAAAAAATACTCTGTAAAAATATCAAAATCAAAAAGAAGGTTGGTTTTAATAGTAAATATATTTTATACTAAAAAAAAAAATTTTGATTAATAAAAGGTGCAATCAAAAAATTTAAAAAAAAAAATCCTTATATTGTGCATTTAGTTTTTTTTTCTATAATTTATCTGGAATAAAATATTAAAATATTGATAGATTGTTTAAGTTATTATGTAGAGCTGTGATGATACTTAAGATCTCGTTCTACACAGTTTCCATACTTGTCAATTTGATAAGTACCCAAGCTTTCAGAATGTGGATTTACTTCTTTCACGTGATTATCAACCCTAGATAAAAAATAAAAATAATTAAAATCTAAATCAATTAATAGAAATTTAATAGTTACTAACAAATCAACATGATTGTTTTTCACATTATTAGAAAGTTCTTGTCCTTGTCCTTGTACAATCTAATAAAAACAATACATTTTATTTTTATAAATATTTCAAATTTATAAATTGTTAAGCTTAACTTACTTCTCCCATTGTATCATGATGTTTGTGAGCATCATGCCGTCCATGCAATGCCTCATCTTTGTTTGGTGATACACTGTAAAAATTCAAAATAATAACTGTATAACATGATACCTAGATTATAAAAAAAAAACTAACTTAATTAATACCTAGGTACTTGTATTCAGTTTGGGGAAATACACTTTCAAATGACAAAAAAATATGGCAAAAAAGAACAAATAAGTAAATTAATGAACATGGTAGTTAAAAATAGTAATAAATATGTATTACCAGGTACATATCAACTAGGTAATATACTATTTTTTTTATACAATAAGTATTTATACTTCTTTAATTATATTGATTTTTAAGAAAAAAACCATTGTTAGCCAAATATTTCAATGTCAATTTTAAAGTATAAAACTTGTATATAATGTATAGTAAAACTTTTTCTAAAAATTAGCTCGAATTCAAATTTCAAGTAAAAGTTTGAAAATTAATTAATACAATATAATAAATTTAAACATCCAATTTATTTTAATCGATAAAACATCATAAAAATGCTACCTATAGATTAGGCATGTTTCCGTGTTGAGAAATTGTAGTTGATTTGCCTTTTTTTCACATTACTATAATAAGTAGGTGATAATATCTATCCTGTGTACAGTTTAAAATAAATAACAATACCCACCACCTATAGAAATGTTTTCGTAATATTTAACGATTCCACTGGACTTTAGCGGAAAATCGAAAATAGTCCAAACGAGAAAATGGCTACCGTTGGCTGGCCTACCACAATATTGAATATAGTAATGTAGAGTTATCAAATATCCGAATTATATAATTACAATAATACCTAATTAAATAAAACATATTGCATAATGAAATAAATAACTTACTTATCATTCTGCCCTCCGAAGTTCATGTTGCGATGATTGTTGTGTAGTTTGGAGAATACTAGATTTGACGTTAACAAGAAGTATTAACTTTAATATTTTACTCTTTATGAATTACAATTTGCAAATGGCGAAGGAATGCTGACTGTTGACTGGCTAATAGGTATTATGGTTATTGGAAAAGGGGAAACAGGGGCAGAATGCAGTGTAGCCGACAACCGTAAAAGAGTAAAAGACTAAAATAGTCCTAAACTGCAGTCACGAATTTTATTGTGATGGCCAATGGGAAAAATGGGCGTCTATGACCTTGACGTGTTTTTCCTGATGATGCTTAGGTGTCTGGTAGTTATAGTGCTTCATTTCATAGTTATTGCTTATTCACGATGAGCACCGAGGGCTGCCGACCTCGAATGCGTTCGATCTGCAGCGTTCCTGCGGTTTACAGGATGAGAAACCGGGATAGGTCACAGGTTGTCGAGGAAACAGAAAATAAAATAAACGGTGGGCGATCGGGTAACTCTGAAATTTCATATGTGATTTAGGTACTATGCACTCAATAATAAAATTTCCATAGACTAATCGTACGAATTCATATTAATTAGAAAATGACTGGTTCATTTTTCGCGGTCACTTTTAGAATGAAGCGGGTAGGTATGATAATTTATTTTATACCTGCAAATCTAGATGACTGTTTTTTAAAAACTATTTTGATTGAAATTTAAAATATTGACATGTATACCTTTTACAGTGGATCGAGTTTAATTATTTATTCTACTCGATTTCAAATGCAGCGGTAGGTACTTATGCAATTATTATATGGTTGGTTGGATTAAATGAGAAAAATTATTAATTATATATTTATATATTATAAAATGTAAATTATCTGATATTTTGACGTTTGTAATATATAATAGTCTCAATTGTTTCCACACTAACATACTTGATTTAATTAAAATTGTTATGATTTCCATATGCGCAGATTTTTTAACTTCTAAATTCTATTTCACAATATATATGCCCCCACGGCCCCATAACACACATAGGTATGTTACAAAATTAATTGTTTTAATTTTTATAATCATTGCACCCATTATATAATAGTTATTACAAGTGTCTAAGAAGTTTTCTTGATCTAGTCTGAAGTCTGAGGCTAACTGAAGACATAGGTATAGTGTCACTTAATTAATAAAGGGGCATAGTTTAATTTTTCTTTTTTAGTTTTTAAGCTTACCTATCATTGTGAACAACATTTTGACTGTATAAATTGCCAATTAATAGATTTATATATTTTATGATATTAAATAGGTAAATGTTATAGATACATTTATTCGAATTAAAAAATATATATAATATAATAAGTACTTAGTCGCCATGTGTTTAGTTTTTTGTTAACTTCTTTTATCATTATTGTAAATTAATAATTATATAATTAAAAACAATAATATACAAGCACTATTGAAATTATAAAGATATTTTGTTGATAGTTTGAACTTTGATTTGTATTTTTTATACTATTGTCTTATGTAAAAAAACTAAAAATTAATGTGTTATATCATATATACTTAACAGTTAACAGTATATTTATTATTAAGTACCGCTAACACCAAGAACGTAAATATATTATACATATTTTTTTTATTTGAACCAATTACCGAAGTTCCACAATCCAGATTATAATACTTAACAATTAATTTGCCCCCCTTTAAAAAAATATCCATAGCAGCATAGGCTCTCAAGTAAGTCGACGCGACGTTTCATCTTGGAAAACAGCACGACTAGAATCAACAATCCAAATGACTTATGCCTTATGGACGCGGAACAATGATTGTCATGTTGAGAGCTGCCGATAAATAACATAAAACTATAAACCTAATTAATCAGCTTTACATTTCATGTGACAAAAGTAATATAGATTTACAAGCTAGTCGGTCTCGTGTCAACATATTATTTTTTCTACTTACAAAAATATAATATTATTATTGTAATTTACTAATTTTTTTAACACCTTTTGCTTACCTAATTATTTTATGAAATGTTGTGTTTTTTTTTTTTTTATCTAACATTATGTAATACATCGTATATTTGTATTGTAATTGTGTGTACAAAAGCTCATGCCTTACGTAATATATCTCGACATATATTATAACTTATAAGCTATGTAAACTGAATAAATATACTGTGTTCAAGATAAGTACATTTTTTTTTAATTCGACAATAGATCATAGAGTACGACACATTATATGTGTACTGGTGTACTTAATACGAAATTAAAAAGTGTGTGTTGATATAGTGATAACACTAAGTACAATATTTTTATTTTATTAAACTAAAATTATATTATACGTATCTCAGACGTTTGTGCGATCTTACATTCATTCAGTTTTGATTACTTTTTTGGGCTTGCTACTGATGGGTGTGCAAAAGTATTTTCATTTTATTGGTTGCCCATGTATTCGTAGGTGGACATTTGATTGAATTTTTAGGGGGGCTATTATTATAATTCAGTGTAAAATGGCCCGCAAGGTCTTCGCCTATGCACCCCTTTCTATTTATAAATACAATATATTAGGTACTAATGAAATATATAAAAAAGTGTAACTAGTGTAAGTAATAAAAAACACTAAACAACATACATTTAAAAATAATTAATAACCAATTTTATGTTGATAACAAATATGTTTTTATCGGCAAAGGTATTATACGTTATTAGTATTATCATCGTTATTAATATTTTTGGACAAATCTTTTTCAATATATAATATAGAAAGATCACTGAACCTATTCTGAAGCATCGATGTCCTTAGCAAAGATTTTATTTTTTTATAGCACTAAAACTTCTTTTGCAAGTAGGTAGCTGAACTAATTGAAATTGTCAATGCTAATGTAAATAGTTTTTGTAAATTAGGGAATACTGTTTGATTTTCCGACAAAACTCTTAAATATTGGTTTAATAACATTATGTAGGTACAAATAGACAATAATCATTATTAAAATATATTATATATATATATGTGCAAATGTGCAATGTACATAGATACATGTTTTGCAATACAAATATGAATAATAGCATGTAAAATTGTACAACTAGTATTATTATAGAAATGCTATTATATTATAGTATAATAAATGTTATTGAATGTCATTTATTTGGAATCAAAATATGTTTAGTATAATAATAATTTACTTATAAACATTTATTAGCGGCATTTGTTGGTAAAATATTATTTTATAATTTTCAAAAAAATTAACAGATAATTATTGTATATTGTAATAATAACATTTCAAATAGTTTCAATTTTTGGGGACTAAGCCCCCCGATGTCTGCCTAAGCGTGCATTACTACCAAGTACCAGGTCATCGGTAGAGTAAAATATTTTATATAAATAATTTATTTGAATATACGCTAAATTGTTTTTGTCGTACCTACAAGTATTATGCCCAAGACGTCCAAGTATTGACATCAAAATCCTCTCGTATTTCCCTATTTAGCATTAATCTCACTACTACCACAGAATAAATTATTTTGTGCTACTACACCGTATTAGAGATAAACTACGTTTTAGAGTAACTATAAAAACATTAAACAATTGTTATTACCTATCATGCATAAGTAAATGATTATATTATGAAAAATCGTTTTATTAAAACAATTCTGGCAAGAGTTCCGAGTTGGTTTAGTGAAATTATTTTAAGTACAACTTTGTTAAGTACAAATCGATGCTAGCTGAGATATATACCCTATTATATGCAGACATTAAACATAAATAATATGTTAGATTACCCAGACTCCGTAATGTATTCTATGATACATGAATTGTAACTGAGCATAGCAAAGTTGTAACAAAAAAGTAGGTTGTAAATATTTATTATGAAGTAAATAAATTGCATTGTTTGTTTTACCTATCTATAAGATAAAAATTGAAAATATTACAGATATTATGAAATAAAAATTATTTAATTTATGAATGTTGAGCAAGTTAATGATAATAATAAATTTCAGCTGGTTAAATTAAATAAATATACATAATTATCAATGATGAATGTATAAGATACCTGTATACTATGCAGCAGTACATACTTTTCATAAGTATAATATTATAATGATTGTTTTGTTTCTCACTTTTAAAAAGCTTCTGCCAATCATTGTGACACATTCATCTTTTTAGTCCTGAATTGATACATGTTTTAAATATCATATAAATACATTTCTTTTCCAACAGAATAAATCTAGTTCAACAAATTTCTCGTGCAACAGTGTCATGTATAATTTATTATTTATATAAATCAATAAATAGAATATTTGAAAATGATAATGGAAGAAAAACATTGGGTGAATTTGAACACACAGAAAGTATATTATAGGTACATTAATTTATAGCGTATTATAGATATCTGCATAAATTTAGTATCTACTACTACATATAATAAATTTGGTGCATTCTACAACTTGAAATTTTTAATAAGTTTGAATTTTATCTTTTAAATGATATTTGTAATCTGATTCAATACCTACAATTAAGTATTAAAACAAGTAATGAAAAATAATTATTGTATTATTACTCTACTTTCTACAATGAAATGGATATTATATTCAAATTATTAATAGTTTTTCAGATACTGATATACAATTAAACAATATTTTTTTTTAGTTATAATATATAATCTGAAGTCAAATTAATAGTTTTTTACATCATGTTGAGTTTTGAAGGTATTTTTTTTTTTTTTTTAAGATCTAGTTCTACATAATCACTATACTTGTTGATTTGAAGTTTAAAGCTTCTTCAATATGTGGTTTTACTTTAATGGATTGGTCATAAACACTAAAGTAGGTACACATACAAATTATTATCATTGTTGTCTTTCACAGAAGAAGCTCCTGTATCTTGTATAATCTGTAAATAATATTAATAAATTAATTATTTTTATAAATATTTAAACTGCTAAATTCACTGACTTCGCCTATTGAATCGTGATGTTTACGATTATGATGTCCAATTATAGGTGGATGGTTATACCTTGATGTTCTAAATAGGTATAAAAAAAAATAAATAATTTCTATTTAAAATTTACATTGAATACAATTTTATCTATTTCCAGTAATGCCATAATTTTGATCAAAAATAAGTAATGTATATATAAATATAGAACTTTTACATTCATCAAGGAATTATTCATAAATAAAATAATTGCTTCCCTGGTCTACTAATTTTAAAAGTTGAAACATTTTCCACATAAACTGCAATAAATTAGTAGTAGGCTTGTCAATAGCCAATTGCTTGACACCCAGTTTGATATCTAATATAATTATATAAATATAAGATTATAATTTCAGTTTTATTAAAAAATAAGAAAATTAGTAATTGAATTATTATTATTTTTGATTTTCAATAACATAATAAGTTAGGATTATGTAACTTGTAATACATATTCAATCGTTTTCTATAACCTTGACGCTGTTTAGATTCATGGATGTAAAAATCCAACAAACAATAAGTCGTGGTTTGTGATTAAGTACCATTTTTGCTATAAAAGTTCTTTTCCATTATATTAAAATGCCAACAACAAAATTACTAATAAATAATAATATACTAATACAACAAAAAAATAAATTTGAGTTTAATTTAAATATCAAAGTAGCTGTTTAATAATATTATACTAAGAACCCTCTCAAATATCTAAACTATTGTACTACAAACATTGTCTTGAATCGGCCAATCTAAATAAAAAATCAGCACCAATGCTTGTGGATTTCTTTAATCAAAAACACATATTATAAATTAAATAAAAATATGTATTATATTTAATGATATTAATTTACTAAAAAAAAAAAATAAATTGATTTAATTTACTCTAATATATTATAATATAATCTTTTAGTTTATTTATATAAATAAATCAATGATTTTAAAATAGTGCTGTAATGTTTTACCAAAATAAATATTGTTTAAAGCACACTTTTAAATTTTGTACTACACACTTCACTTTTCTTAGTACACAAAGTGTATTCTATTACTTTTACTAAACACAGTTTTAGGGGCTGAACTTAAGTAAAAAAGAGTAGCTTAAAATTAAGTTAAAAATTTTCTCTGATAATTATAATTAACAAAAATTATCTTAAATTGGTGTACTTTATTCAGTCATCATATAATAATATGATTAGAATTGATAAGCTTGTTTGCACTGGTAATTGGCAACTCTAATTATTGAATCGCAGTCAACATTTTACTTATCTTGTCAATTATCAATTGTAACTTGTTTTTCAAACTGTCAAAATACACAAAAATCATAACACATTAAAATATATAATATTAAATGTATCACATTCACAGCTAGTTGGGTAATTGTAATCAAGCATTTCAGGAAATCAAATAATTGCCTTTTCAAAGGACAAGTATGTGCATTTATACCACATAGATGCTGTTTATATTTAATGGATTTGTTATTGGGTTCCGAGACATAGCAAAAATAAATTTTATTTTATATTAATTCTTTTATTTAATTAGATTATATCTTTTAGCTAGATAATTATATGTATTATTGAACATAATAAATAGCTACCTATCTTAAGCTATTTTCTGATTTTTTGCAAAATCATTTTTAATTTAAAAAAATATTTATAATGATTATTTAAATTTTTTAATATCTACAGGTTACATTTTATTAAAGAAAAAAAATAATTCATAAGCAGACATTGTACCAATATGTGTTACGTCTGTCTTACTGTAGTATAAATAAGAGTAAACTTTATGTTCAGAAAAATTAATTTGAATAATATTTTTAATATTTGAAAGAATTATTATTGTACTATTAAAAAATTTAAAAGAATTAAAAATATTATTAGAGCTCCATGTTGATTTTTTATGATATTCTTATTTTAAAGTAAGTTATTGACATTTTAAATTTGATAAGTTAATTTACTTTAATATTAAAAATAACTGAGTAAAATAGCAAGTAAATTTGCTATACTACGATTTAGAAAGATTATTGATTGTAAATACCACATGTCCACCATATTACCTACTGAATCAATTTAATATTTATCAATTCTTAATACAGATGCAGGCAGACATGTGAGTACGGTACGATTGTTCTATAATGATTTTTATAATTTTATTGAGACTTGAGAGTATCTATTTTGTGACTGTTTCTAGATTATGGTTGGCTATTGATAAATTTTTTTTGATATTCCACGAAATATTTTGGAATTATACTCACTCGTAGTTATTCTCCGATTCTCATATCCGTCACCGTATTATCGATCTTCAACACCTGTTCGACGTGGTTGTCAAATTCAAACTACATGGTTATTGCCTATTGGTTACCGTCTTTCATCGAGATGTCCGGAAAAATGTCTAAACTCTGGTAAAATCACAATAACAACAAGAATATAGGAACAATAATGGCGTCTTTGTAGCAGTTAGGAATAGTTGTGCCGGTTGCCGACTGCCGTGAGTTTTCAACATTGGCCTGACCTACGACAATATATTTTATATTTATTGCACGGGTGATGGCAGCACAGAGTCAGCGGACCTTGGACCTTGGACCGTAGTAAAAACTAAACAGTAAACACGGTCCACAGCGTTCCCGTGGTTTGGGTCGGGAGGGCCGAGGGCGCAGGCTGTATAACGACCGAAAATAATAATAAACTCCCGAACAAGACCAACTCGAAATAATAATTACCAACACAATAACAAAATGTTCGCTGTGTGTACATACTTCATATTATTATAAATTTAATGTTATATTTTTATAAGTGATATTATGAAATATGAATATTAAGATCGTCTCGTTGTTAATGTTGTTATTTTTGACAAGTTTATGTCTTATGGCTGAGTGTCGTTGTGCGACAACGAGAATGTTACCGTGACGTTTTAAGCGTTTTATGTAATGTGTGTGCGGGGATCGGTTACCGAAAATTAGCTATTATACAAACATTACGAATGACGAATGTTATCGGAATCAAGTGGCTTCACTCTTCATTCATCAGGTATTAGCGGCCGCGGCGGCCGAACGGTCATCGGCCGAACCGGCCGTTTAGTTGACGACTCGTGTCATGCTGTATACGTGCCGGCGGTCGTCCACACGGCGCCGTCCGCATGAATATAATATTTTATGCCGTTATAAACGTTCTGCCGTACTCTCGAACGCCATCACGTGCTCCGAGTACGACACGATAAGACGATTTAGAGCAATAAACACACGCGTACACACACACACACACACACACACACATCATACACACGGTTACACAGATAATGTTTATAGAATCTTGTTTAAAAAACAAAAAAAAAATAGTTATTAGTACCTATATGTATGCAATAATATTATTGCGGAAGCATATATCCGACTGTTTCTAAGGACTATTCGTCGCATTGTTAGAAATGCGTTTATATGATGTTACGTGCATTCACTTCCGCCTCACTTTTGTATTTGCCTACCTACTTTTATTTTATTCAAAACAACGACTTTACATATTGTATGTACATTATTTTATTACCATTTGCGTGTACGACTTTATAATATTATATTCTACTCAATGGACATTTTTTATGAGAAACAATAATAACATATTATTCTATATATTATATAGTAATTATATTGGCTTTGCATTCTTTTTTTCACGTGTCGTCATAATATTGTGTCAATTAGTTTGTACAGCGTGAAAATGTTTACATACACACACATAACATATATATATATTAAAAATACGTTGCTAGAAGTTTTACATTATTCACTATCCAACGTTTTGTAAGTATTTTAGTAGAAACCTGCAGACGTTTAAATAATTAGCGGTAGAATATGATTAAGAACGTTGTACCTTTTTGATAACATGTTATCGTGCACGATTGAGAACGATTGCGGCAGATCAAAGAAACAATATTTTGTACCTTATAATCGTTCGAATGAGAACGATTTTTAGAGCGACGTTGCCGTTTAGTGCCGTCCCAAAATAAAATGTTCGATAATTAAAAATATAGTTTACCTATGGATTTAGGGGCCTCGAATTCCTGTTGTGGTTTATCTTAATGTTTAGTACTAAAGTTAATAAATACGATATCGTGGTTTACGTATCCACCAAATTCAGTTGTTTAGTGGACAGAGCGGTAACAACGTAATATTATAGTGTATAATATATAGTATGTAGTATAGTTTAATATTAATTATGATGGAGAACTTCAAAATTATAACGTCTGAACGCGGAAAAGATCTTGCAGTATTAAATAATGATAAATATTCATTTGTAAGACAACGCAAAGATGGTTTAATGAAATGGAAATGTTCCAATAATAGCCGTAGTGCCAGCTAATTAACGAAAATGGATAACACTTTTCATTCGTCTAATAACTGATATCTGTATAAACAAAATCGCTAATCGCCAATGAGGCATAAAAATAAAATATATCTTACGCAGAATCATGTATATTATATAACATTTATAGATGTATATAATTGACAAAAAATATTTTTAACTATACCAATTTATTTCATTTGTTAAAATAATCAATATATTGGTAACACTTCAATTTTATGCATTCGATTACAAACATATATATGCACATGAAGGCTTAAAATATATGTATTTATTATAAAGAAGAATAGTAATCTAATCGTGAAAAATAATCACTAAAACAATTAGGAAGCAAACAACCTCCTCAATTTACACCTATGCAATGCATTCAAGGTAACTGCAGATAATCGTTATTATTAATCTTCTGTTTTTGTTGACAAATATATTTTGATGAGGAATATGATGGAAAAGTAACTCTAAAATTGTATATATTTTCATTGTATTTATTAATCAAGCTACCTACCATATTGTTTCCCAAAATATAATAATATACAGGCAACAATAATATTTTTATGACTAAATGTTATACTGACAAATTTAATGATAATTAAAAATACTTATCAAATTTAAGTAATAATCTAAAATAAATGTATTAAACTAAGCCTTTAAATTAAGATTTGAAAAAAATATAACTTTACAAAGTAGTTAATTTAAATGTAGAAACAGTGGCGTAACTACAGTCCCGTGAAGTTGGCCGCACAATGTGAAAATTTTTGCTCCAAATTTCGTCAAAAATTTGTAAGTATTTGTAAGCACAAATTGGAAATTTGTAAGTTCAGCCGTTTTCAATTATCCACAAAAGCTTAAATCACGGCTAACTTCCGCGAAACTTGGTCCTTTTATCATTACAAAGTTTTCGACCGTGTCAAAATGTACAGTGTCATTTGTAAGTATTTGGGATGGCAATGCCCCGGAGCCTTGGACTTGGCGGGTCCTTCGACCCTCGTACATACAATTTGTATTATAAAAAATGATGTACAAACATTTGAATTTTATTTTAAAATTCACGAGACATGTACTGTTATTACTTATTAGGATAGGAAAAAAGTGCAAAACAGCCTATTATTGGAAAACAGACGATGTTTATTTTTTATATTAATATCACGATGTGTATAATGTATATAGAATCTTGAATCTTGAATTATTATGCGATAAAAATAATAATCATCGTACCACTCGTACACATACTATCCAGTATCCAGTATCCAATAACATAGATTAAATATACTAGTATATTTAATCTATGTCACTCATCACTAATGGTAATCGTGCAACGATTATTATTATTGTCGCGATATGAATATCAACATCGTCTATTTTTCGTTTTATTCATCTACACGCCATTTTACATTTGATTGTCGAATCGTCTGGACAACTTGCATATAACAAGTAAGTTTAACTTTTAAGTTATAATGTTTGTTATACCGTGTGTTTAAAAAGTTTGGAAACACTTAAATTATTATTTAAAAATTGTAATGTAATGTAATAGTAGGTAGGTACCTACTATACAGAAATAAAGTAGCAATTTTTTTTTTTAACTTTGGTATTATAAATATACGGAGGCCTATAATGCCTACCTAACCAATACTGCCCCGGGAACCCAAATTTATGGTTACGCCACTGTGTAGAAATGTTGAAATATATTATAATAAAAATAGTTATAGACATTATAGTCAATAATATAACGTATTACTAAAGATATGTACATTTATCAATCTAAACACTTTCGATGACATCATCTTTTAACATTAAAATAAAACCTTGACTTATAAAATAACGAATACATATTATACATGTTATGTGTTTATAAAAAATGATTATAAGCATATTATTATTATACAATTTAATTAAAATTGAACCGAGCGATAGAATTAGTAGAATCAACACGAATAAATATTAAATAACAGATTATGCTATGAATAGAGCTCGGATGTTTAACTTCATTGAAATACGCATTTAAAAATTTAAAAACATGCAAAAAATATATTTCTTTAAATCAAATATATCTATATTTTTCAAGAAATATATACAAAAAAAAAAAATACTATAAATATATAAACTAAAATACATATTACGTAGGTTTAATAATTTAAATGTCAATATTACACTGTATAAAAATGACTGGATATATTTTCAAATTTTAAACTTTTAAGACTTTGGACAATCTGATAGTATGTTTTTGTAAACTGAAAATGACCACTTCACGTCTTCATAATTGGCCGGTGCGTAAAAAACTGCCTTGTAAATTTCATTGATCATTCCACGAACGCCTTGAGTATCATATATGATACACAATCTTCTTTCTAAATTAACACAAACTTACCAACCGCGCCTTGTGTATCACATTTGCTTCTCAACACAACTTGCCACGGTTGCCTTGAGTATCATATATACACTCATTTATTAAATTAAATTATTACTTCATAAAATTATTAAAATTAGTTAATGTCAATACAACAATTGGATAAAATACTACACAATATTTTGAATCTTATGGTGTTTCGTCCTCCTGCCTAACTTAATTACTTTTTATTTTTTATAAATTATAAAAATGAAAAAGTTTTCATAAATAAAAATTATTTCAATAATCATAACAATCATTATATTTATTTTTTTTATTACTGTTCATAATAATCTAAAATTAACAAATAAAATCCAATATTCAAACATAAAAAATTAAAAAATGTAACAAACTTGTTAATATTTATTATTATCATACTGATATTCAAATTTTAATAGTACAAATAATGATAAATACAAATAAAAACATAACATTTTAATAATATATAATCAACTTTTCAAAATTATATTATAATAAAATAATTCATTTTTTTTTATCTATTTTGTGTTCTTTAGAAAAACATTGAATACAATAAAATCGCATGCAACTAGAACATTTAGTTCTAATTTATCTTGTATTACTTTGAGCATATTTACGTCCACCTTGTGTCACCATATGTTTATAACAATTAGCACAGCGCCCTCTTGACTTACATTCTAATAATTTGTGTGTATTTGCAGTTGGAATCTCTTCTTTTTTTTCTAATAAATTTTCAATTAATATTTCTCTAAATGAAGTAATATTTATTTTTTGTTGAGTTATTTCTTCATACAATGATAAAGCATTCAGAACTGAAGTATTTAAAAGTAATTCAAATGCAATTTTCCTATACCATTTTAATGTTCTCCTTAGTGGATTATGATATGAGTTTCGAAGATCACATACATTCACCAATGACTTACCCTTATTATAATCTAATATAAGTTTTGGTTTAGTTATTTCTGATCCAAATTTATTTGTTGTTTTAACCATGACTGCAGAATGTTTGGTAGAAATAGCTAGTACGTCATGCTTGTCTTACCATTTTAATATCGTTATTCCTTTATTGCATTACTTAGCTATTACTTTTCCTCTCTTTAATTGTTTTTTTATAACTTCTGTGGGGTTATTTTTTCTATTTGCCCGTAAAGTACCAACTAGAAGAGTTGATCTTTTTAATAGTTCAGTGGCCAAGTCATAGCTACTATACCAGTTATCTGTATACATTGTTCTACCAATATCCAGGTAATCTTCTGCCATTTCAGTTATGATTCTTGTTGATAATCTCTGGCCAACAACAGCATCTTTACCAGCATAAATCCTGAAGCCAACAGTATAGAAATTATCAATGCATAATTTAAATATCTTAATTCTATATCTGTGTCGTTTATTCTGTATGTACTGTCTAAATGAAAGACGACCCACATAGGGAACAATGGATTCGTCAATGCACATAGATTCTTTTGGTGTACGTGCCATTTTATATTTTGATAGAAGTAAATCAAGTAATCCACTTATTTTAAATAAATGGTCACCAGGAGGACAGTGATCATTGTTACAACAATGAAATGAGCGCAAAATAATTTCAAATCTTTTTCTTGCCATATATTTTGGTATTTTAGATGTATATATTTCACTTTTTTTCCAATATGAAGCAATTGATGGTTGGGGACATAAACCCATCCACATAATAATACCTAAAAAAGTTTTCATTTCATTAGAAGTCACATCTACCCATTTATGTTGACGTGATTTTGGACTAATTTCAGATGATAATAAAGACTTAGTATATCTGTTAGTTTCTTCAAGCAATAAATGTAACACATCATAATCCAAAAATAATGAATAAAAATCGTAAGGGGTACCTTCAGCTAATGTATCAATAATATCATGATTGATGCCCACTAGCTCATTATTTGGATTGAATAATATGTTAGATTGAAATGCATCATCATCATTCCAAGAGGGTAATGATGCATCTTGATGACATCTGTTATGTTGTGAAGGAACAGTATCAGGCGTAGGGGGAATCACAAAATCAAAATCATTTTCATTGAATAAGCCATCATTCGAATCACTCTGTAAAAAACAGTGCAAAATAAAATACTATAATGTACATATAATCAGGCCCTGATTTAATAAAATTAGGGCCAAGTGCCCATTTTTTTGGGAGGTCCCCTACCCCCTACCCCCACCACAAATCAAAAAAATGTTCCAGAAAAGTACAGTAAATAGATGGTATCTTATAAAGTTACATGTATTAATAAAATATAATAAAACAAAT